AAAAAAAAATTTTGTTGGGTTCTCCCTGCCAGGTTCTTATGGTTTAAACAAGGGGCAATTTTCTTTCAAAAGTTCAAAAATACAAAAAGGGCCTGTGACGCGGACAAAAACGGAAACCAAGAATTTTCATTTAGGATTTTTTGGGTTAAATAAAAAAATCTCAATATTATAATGCAGAATTTAAATAATAACGCTGGTTCCTTCAAAAAATTGGGGTTTCTTTATATATTAAATTTATTTTTATATTTAAAAAAATTTAAAAACTTTCTTATAAACGTTTTAGGTTTTCCCCCCCCTAGCAATTTCGCCATTTCAAAAAAATGCTTCTTTGAAAAGTTGTTAAAAGGAACTTTTGATTTTTTCATGGGTGAGAAATTCCCCCTCTTTTGGGGGGGTTTCTCCCAAGTGGCTTGTGCGGGTAAAAATGGCCCGGGGGCACCTAGGTTTTCCAAAAGTCCCACTAACCATAAAGTTTGGACTGGAATTCATTAAAAAAAAAAAAAACAGTTTTTTAAAAGAAAAATTTTTCGAAAAGGTTAAGATTGCTGTGCAATATTTTTTTATAAAGTGGGGGCCCTCGTAAAATTTTTTCTTTTGGGTTTTAACTTTGGAGGTTTTCGCAATATGTTTTTTATTTGGGAAAAACCCCTTTTTAAGTAATTGTCGAATTTCTAATCACTGTTTCCCTTGTTTAGAAGCATCGCTAAAAAAAATGGGGTGGCTACAGAGGTTTTTATTCCTTAAACATTTTATTCCTTTATAGATAATTATATAATGGAAACCAAATTTTCCCGTTTCCCAAAGACAGTAATATATCTGTGTGGATTTACTGATCAAGAAGTTTGTTTATAAGTTATTTTATTTGCAAAAAAATTCTCAGCCAGTAAAAAGGATTTGTACGTTTCGTGTTTGAATAGAGTGAATTTTTAAAATTTTCCGGCATTAATTTAAAGACTCATTTTTCATAAGAAAAAGAAAACACTCAAAAAAACCTCCCCCCCCCAAAGGGTTTTTTTACCTTTTTCTTCCGGACAATAAAGGATAATTTTTTTTTTTCAAAAAACAACAGATACTCATTTTATAAAATTTAAAAAAGCGTCTATTTTTGGGGTTTGCCAAATCGAATATTATAAGCACTTTTTAATTTATATTTATTCAAAATTTTATTTCTAAGTTTAATTGTCTTTTTTAAAAATTTAACAAAGTTGAATTTCAACTGCATGATTAAATTTTGGAAACATACATTTGGGCAAATTTTTCCGGGTTGGTCAAAGTTTAAAATAGAAATTAAAAATGCAATAATTTATAACCACAGGAAGAGCGTCAAATTCTTAAAATATGCAAATGTCATTGTTCTAAGTTCATTCTTTTGAAGCTTTGTTTGTGATTTAAAAGTATTATTTCTTAAAAAAAATATGTATCAATAAATAAGTACTTATTTAAATATAGAAAAAAAAATTTACATCTCTCTGGTTTTTTTTTTTTCTCCTTTAGTGTATACCTGTTTTTTGGGTTTGAGGGGACTATCAATTAGGACGAAAATGATGGGGGTTAAACGTAAGTATGAACTAGTAAATCGCATAATTTATTGATGCTATCGATTTGTTTATTTAAACAAGGTAAACTTACCCCATTAATATACACAGTTTAAAAAGTGTGCTGAAACGGCAGACGAAGTTTAAAATAATATTACAAACCTCGAGCAAGTTTTTTATTGTTTCGACAGCTTTCATTTTCGGCTAAGTTTTATAAAACAGCGTTCATGAGACAAATCCTGGTCTGCTTGCGGTTCAAATACTTATTTTTCCCCTTTTTTGATGTTTAAAAGTTTTTAAATTTTAAAACTTATGATTGTCTTTTAAGTTCGATATATAAAAATTTTAAATTTCCTTTTGAAGTTGTGTTAATTTTTGACAACAGAAAAATTTTGGTTTAAAAACATGTATTCTAAAAAACAAAAAAATATTATTATAATTAAAAGGCATTTGCACATTTTTCAATTAATTCTTTGGGGGCTAAAGCAACAATTGAATTCAAATTTTTGAAAAAAACAAAATGCAAAAAACCCCATTTGCTTAAATTGATTTAATATCAGTATTTGTAATTCGAATTTTATAAAATTAAAACACCGGGGGGGGAATACTTTTTTTAAAAAAAGAAAACTAATTTTATTTTTTTAAAATGATTTTAAGGAAAAATTAAAAGAAAACAAAAAATCACTTTATAAGTATGTTTTGATTAAAAAGGGTTTCCGAACTGCAATATTAACTCAGAAATTTAAAAAAAACAAATTTTTTCATTTACATATTTAACGAAATTTTGAAAAAACCTGGCTTCAGTAATAAAAGACATGTTTCATAATGTAAATATAATTTTAAAAAAAAAATCAACAGGGCCTCTAAAAAGTTTCTGTCTGTTTTAAAACTATTTGTGTTATTAGTTTAAAAAGTTTTTATACTAGACTGTACATATCAAATGGAAAGACGGACAACACTTTCCAGATATGTTATATTAATAACGAATAAAAATCGTTCTGCAATTCCAGAATTTGATCGCTTACTTGAGATGTAAGTTCTTTATAGAATCTAGTATATATAAAAACATATACATTCAATTTCAGTTTAATTTTTTTTTACATATTTAAGGCATTTCATAATAATCATTTCTTTGAAATTCCGTGTTTTTATCCATGTACTTTAGATTACTGAAACTAAGGGTTACAGTGTTGACAGTGTATTTTTAAGGTTCTGTTAAACAAAACAATAGAGTAGAGTCTAATCAGATTGTTAATAGATGAAGCTTAACGTATCTAAATGTTCAGAAAATCTATATATATCTGTTTTTCATAATGTATTGTGAATTCGACTTAGCCAATGTTCTCGGCTGTTACAGGTGTTGCTTATAATTTAACATTTATTTGGAAAATACTACCTTATACCGCCTTTAGTGTTCTAAATTATGTAACATTAATATAATATTAAGGATACAGCATATAGACGCATCAACAAATAAATTTTTGCTAAATAGAATAATCTACATTTGATAATACTAAGTTCTAAGAGGTTGCAAAATGATTAAGTCACATTCAGCTGCCGTTAGACATACCACAAAAATATGTTTTTCATTTTAAAAGCATCATGTGCAAATCTAACAGACTAATAATTGCCTTTGAAGATCTTTTCAATTGCTCAATTGGTATTTTTATCATCGGGGTTTGGAATATATATGATAAATTGCTTCGCCTTTGGTTCGCAAAACTTTTGTGTGGATGGCTCATCAATGTTTTTTATTCTATATTTTTTATCAAATTTTTTATCATAGAATGCTCGATTTCAAAAACCCAATTATCGTGTCATCCCTATAAAAATGCCCGTATCTTTACAATTTTTAAAAATGTGTTGATTTTTTCTGTATCACTGACATTTTTTATAATTTATTTCTTCTTTCTATCGATGCATCTAATTAGTTTCATTATTGGTAATTTGCGCAAAAATTTCATTTGCTGCCCTTTTTATTTTTCATTTTTTAAAATATAGTTTTGTTACGTACCTAGCGGCAAGATATTCATTTGACTGCCTTTTTTCATAACGAATAAAAACGAGAAATATAATATTAAAATTTTAAAGGGATTTTTTTAAAAAAATTAAATTCAATTTTCCGTTTTTTACTTTTTTCCCTTTTTTTTTTTTTTTTTTTTCTTTTTTGGGGATAAAATTAAAGAATTTAAAAAAAAGTTGCGTGGTTTTTAAAAAAATTGGGGTTTGCCCCCCAAAATTTGTTACTAAATTTTAAATTTTACTCAAATTTTTTTATCAAAAAGGAAATGATTTGGTAAAAACCTTTTTTCGATACCATGGGGGGCCCCAAAAAATTTAAAATTTTGATTTCAAAAAAAAAGTAAAACTAAAAAATCAAAAAAAGCGTTTCCATTTTTTACGAATTTTTTTTTTTTCCGTTCCCCGCCCTTTAAAAAAATTTAAATTTTATTTATTGTAAATGTTTACTTTGTTTCGCCAGATTGTTATTAAATAAGTGTGAAAATCGTTTCTTTCAGAAAATTAGACGCATGTTTGTGAAGCATGTGTTCAAGATCGCCAATTTGACTTTGATTGAATATGGTAAACAAGATCAACAAGGAAATGCGGCGTTCAATGAACGCAAACCCAACACGAACTAGCAACAAGGACCTGTGGCCAGGAGCCCAGGAGGAGGACCACAAAGAAAACCAGGACAGGGCCCAAGGTAGAGCACGGACAGGATAATCACTAAATAATACATGAAAGGAAATCAAATGCAATTGATTGATTAATAGGCCCACAAAGTAAAAGGGGTCTTGAAGTAAAAGGAATCGAAGGGGCAACATTAAAAATATATAACTAGAGGCAAAAGGGAAGATACTTACAGTAGACGAGAAAACAACAAGAGACACAAACAAAAGTGTCACCAAAACAGTATGAAACAACAACTCATACATCTAAGGAACACAGAGGGGCACCGCGTTTGAATGGTCAGCAGCATAAGTACTGAAGTTTCAGGGGCTAACTTCCAGCTATTGATCTTTTTTTAGAAAAAAATACTTTTAAGACAATCATGGGTTGTTTCCTTTCATTTTTAAGCTTTGATCATAGGGATCTGATAGATGCATTAATAGCGTCAAAAAGAAATAAAAGAACGTTGCCTTTCTTGGGTTAACCCACGTTCCCAAGTTTCAATGCAGTTGGAAGTAATTTTAGCCTATTTGAATACTCTTCAAAGCGGAGGTAATGCATCAGAGGTATATAACCTTAAAAGCGAATGGTACATGAAAGACATCATTGCTTATTTATACAAATTCTTATTCTAATGGAAAACATTTTCATAAGATAAAACGCACATTCAAATATTCACATGCAATATCGCAAATTTGAAGAAAAAGGTTTTTAAAAAAAAGCAATCAGCATAATTATAAACATTTCATTGAAAATTTTGCCATTTTTCAAGTTGTTAAGGTATCTATATTTTCCGCTTATTCAAACATTTATTTTAGAATTCACGGAACACATCCCAAATGTACTACACACACAGTATTCAATGAAGTTTATTCAAGATTTATTTAAATTCTAAAATTACTATCAATCAGTTTACATTAGTATGTCTTAAGAAGTTAATGTTACACATTATTTCTGGCGTCATGTATCATATTGTCATTTTTTTCTTGCATTGCATATATAACTTTCATGGATATATATGCTTGATGGCAATGCTTTAATAGAAATTGTAGGTATGTCATTTTTTGGGCGGATTTTGTTTGCCATGTCTCTCATATTGATTTTGGAAGCTTTCATTTGCTGGTTGTCTCTCTGGTTCGGTTTTCTGCAAAACAAAGACACTTCATTAGCAGTTCTTATACAATCAGTGCAAACAAACTATGGTATGATAACAATGCTGTTAACTACAAGAGAGGTGCCCGAAGGGAATTGTTTATGATAGATTTAGACGTTGCTTAAAAACTAAGAAATCGCTATTTTCTTTCATTCAATTGAAGTTCCTCTTCCCTAGAAATGCTCCATTCTAATCGATGGATCCATTTTCAGAATGCGTCAATGTACGCTGATTTGGATACACGTATAAGCTCCTAGAATAGCTAATGCAAGTCTTTGTATGGTATGATATCTACGTTCTGCAAGGATGTTTTTGTCAATTTCGGAAAAAAGAAAAAAGTAGCTAAGGGCAAGTTCTGTAAAAAGTGGTAGGTGCGGCAAATACTGTTACCTTTCCTTCTACAATGACAGATTTATGATCTAGTGTATTACCTGAAGAAATCCTTCATACCGGTTAAAACCGGTTACTGGACTTCATTACTTTAATACTTTATCTTTATAATACTTTCCAGTGACACTTTTGCATTTTTCACTGAAGCATAACTTGCAACAACTGCACTAGAGAAGAAAAATGAATACAAACTTTATTTGCACCGAACTCGTGTTTAGCAATTATCGGCATTTCTGTAAGCTTTGGTACCCCGTAATTAATTGTAAATTTTCGAACGGAACGGATTCAAAATAATGCACTCAAGTCTCGTCACCGGTAACAACATTTGCAAATTTCTCTTTTTTCCATATTTCGGAAATAGTTTTAGCAACTGTTTATTTTACTCTTGCTTCTTTTGATCGTTTTTTAACAAATTACGCATCCGCCTGACAGACATCTTGCTGTAATTCAAGATATTCTTTACATAATGAAATACCAACCACCCGTGCAATATCGCGAACTTTACAATAAGCATCTCTTTCAACAATGTCTTTAACTTTATATATTTTTCTGCACCAGATAAACACTTAAATATGCCTTGTTTGGGTGCGTTTTGAATCGATATTAATCCAGAGTCGAATGTCTTTATCTATCTGAGAGGATGTGTTTATATCTTTGAAAAAGAGGGGTTTACCCTTCGAACCGTTAAATCCCCGGTTAATACAGACACTATTATTACGATTTATTTTATCTTTTTTAAAGGTGTTTAATAGCTCAGACGTGATAAGATTTTAACGCTCATGCGATAACATGTCAAATTTTGTTTAAATTGGTTTTATACAACTAAACTTATCCAAGAGCACGGTTTAAACAAGTTAATAAGATTAACTGACATAATCTATTATAGAAGTTGATTGGATTTCTCAATTTATCTCCAAAATAGATTTTAATCTGGGTTCCTAATGGGTTAATCTCTATAGAAACATATTTAATAATTGTGTATTGACATTCTTCATTTTAAAGTAACATGTTTCAATTAGTGTGTATGATATTAGCTTCATTTTTGTTAAAATAGAAAAAAAAACAAAGCAAAAAACATGCTGTAGTCAGATTATTTTGTAAAAGACAAACTGTTTTTTAAATTATTTATATATGATTTCAAATTCTATAATGTATAATTTTTATAGATATTTTGTACTCTGACGACATTTTATCTTTATTTCATATATTTATTTTTTCTATACATAAATCAAGGAAATCTCGGGGAATTTCCCCTTCTAGAAGCTAATACTCAATATAAAACTTCAAATCCAAGTATTGATTACTTAATCCATAAACAAACCAATTGATAACTTGTCAATGATATTTTTTCAATATGTTTCTTTTTAAGGAAAGAAACTTAAAATAGTTTCAAATGGCGTTTGAAGTACTTGAGGTTATCATGTCCTAAAATTTCTGATATCTAGAAATATTACACAAACAGACCGACACTTTAGGGATTCTTATTTTCTCTTTTTTATATAATTTACTTAAGTGTTATTTAAATTTACAAGTGAAATGTAAACAAATATATCAGTTATTCTTAAAAGTAACTTAGGCGAAATACCAAACCATTGATATATTTATCAGATCAAAATGTGTTAAATGGCTCAGGCATCCTATTTGATAAAATTTGGTAGACCAAACAGCGAAAATAAGAATCCCTGAAAAAATCCAAAACGGCAAAATTGAAAATGTTGCAGGCTCGGTTTGATTGTGCCTGTTCATGGACGGTACAGTCAAGTGCAATCTTCCGTCCACGCCCTGTAAGAAACTCTATGTACAACAGAATCAATCAACCAATCAATCAATCAGTCAGTCAGTCAGCCAATCAATTCCATTGATCAATGGACCGTAAACCATAAATTAATTGTTACATTATTTAGTTTAAAGAAGATAATGTTTTTAACCACTTTATACGATTTTCAATGCAATAATTTCTAGTAATTCACGTTATTGCCTCGTGCTGTAAAATTTTAGTGAATATCTTTGTAAAATTTACACATCTTTAAATTACACTGGTGCAGTTTAACCCATTAAAAGTGACCTTAAAGTAATACTTGCCGATCTCTTTTTGGAACGAATCAACACACAGCAACACATAAGAATGATGAACGCAAAGAGTCCACCAGCCACTCCTGCGAGTAACTTTATGATATTCACTGAAAATATGTATACATGTTCTAATAATCAGGCTAAGTGTGGTCGTATAAAAAATCAGATTTACAAGTAACAGAAGTAAATGCATCGTTTATGCACGCACATATCCGTACAGTGGTTTACTGTCTGAAGCAAATCGATTAGATATTTACAAGCACCCGTGTAAAATTACTTTCAATAATAATGAAACATGGGAACAGAGTGAACGAAATTTCTTATTAAATTAAAAAAATAATTGAAAGGAATCCATCAAAGAATCAGATTTATAAGGTTAAAACCTCTTTTAAAGTGGTGAAGTTGACAATAAATTACCTATCTTCAGTTTTTTTGAGAGCGAAAAGGCTATTTTTTATACAAGATAACTGGCAGTGAACGAAAGGTCTGAATGAACAAATGTAACTAAATAAACCTTTAGATATGGCAATTAAACAATTTGAAACACCTTGGATGTTTCATACTGTTGGTAGTTTTATGCTAACAAAATTGAAACCGTGCTTAGAATAATGTCATTTGTTTAAGTACACGAACGACATGTGTTGCATTGAAATCTTATTCAAACCTCTACGATCCGACGCGTGCTTAGGTTCATTACAGGATCCATTTTGAGATTGCATTGATGCCGGTATCGATGGTGAAGATTTGTTTGATTGTCCGGCCGAAGTTACTGGAGAACTGTTCGAAGTTGAAGAATTTAAAGATGACAGTATCGAGGAACTCATTGATTTAGTAGTTGCTAGAGATGCCGTTGGTGTTTTATTATGCTGGCACGTGACAGTGATTGTTCCATTAACTGCAATAATATAATAAAGTGCATTATGTCTATATTACCGGACTAACTAAATGCTTCAGAAAGACTACTTTATTAATTTAAATATCCAGTAACAATTTTAGGTCAAATGGATGTGTATTTATGACTCGTTTTGTATTGCAACCTTAGTCTCAAAACAAATCAAAAGACCATGGCAGAAAAATCGTATTGAGACTATACTGTATCAAATGTAATGTCCACTTTTCTCTCTATATAGGCCTTTTAATAAAAAAATCATTTGTTGCTTTTATGTGACCTAATTTTAAACTTCAATATAACAGGTTTTAATATACCTTCTAAAACAATCCATAATTTCCCGCCATTACTCGCAGCATTATTTGTCCACTTGAGCATCAAATGTGTCCCTGTAAATGGTCCGTTAATGTTTGTTATATTCATGATATCCTCCATTTTGTTTACTTCCTTCCATTCCTTTATGAGTGTTTTGTTTTCATATGTTAACATAAAAGATTGGTTGTGTATAAGTCTATTATCATATGTTTTCAGGACCATTTGAGAACCTGTCAACATGGCGCTGCATGTACAAGATCCATAACCAGTTTTTATGTTTTCCCATGGATATCCTGAACTTGCTATGTTGATTTTTTTACCTGATCCATGGTAGGTACAACCGTGATCAAAGTCTAGATCTAAAATATATCCATATTTAATTAAAGTGATATAGATAATATTATAAACATGTACACAAAAATAGTTGAAGTTGGAACCTAAAAGGAGCTCCAATAAGGTAAAAAAGCCTGAAAAAGTAAATAAAAATTTTTTCACATATATTAACTGTGGAAATTATAAACGTAAAAAATATGCTTATGGTAACAAAAGAACTTTCATAATTTAATTGAAAACCAGTCGTATTGCGTGTGATTCCTAACTCGATTAAAATTAAAAGCGTTTTTCACAATCAAAAAAAATTTGCATACAAGTTATTGATCCAGAAGGTCTACATCAAATGGTATAAATGTTATGAAGAAAAAAGATTCCAGTCTCGTTGTTTCAAAAACACTCCGTGCAGACTCTTTTAAAGTCGCCTAACAATGCAAACTTTGAAATGATGCGGGCACAGTTTCAAACCACTTTGAAGGTCGATAGTATAAAATTATCTATGTTTATTTACAATATAAAACACACCTACCTTCATCATTGTTATGCAAAACACAATCGTACTTTGCTATAAAATATGCAGAATCTTGTTTGCAGTGATCATGAACAGACAGTTTTTGCAGATTAACAGGTTCCTTGCCGGAAAACATTGTCGTAAAATTTTGTACACAGGTGTTATTTCTAGTTGCAGAAATCGTAATGGCCGAACTGTCTATCGGAGGAAAGAAGCAAATGGGGGTTGTTAAAAAGGTAAAAATAAAACATATACATGTATAAATGAACACAAGCATAAAACCACCTAATATGGTAAACATGAAAAAGCAGGCCTCGTTAGCACAAGATCAGAGACATATATTATCATGTGTAGATTTGCATCCTTTTAATATAATTGAAAGCAATGATACAAACAAATGATCAATTTCAACAAACGAGAACAAACGGTATAACGTTAACTATTTGTTCAGTAAAAGGCTTTATTACTTTGAATGTTTTTGCTATGCATGTTTAGTATAAAGTAGATTATTGTCGGTTGATATAGTAATTTTATTTTCTAATAAATGTTTGGATATGTACACATGGCTTACATTAAAATCTAAAATTAAATAACATCGCGCTTTCACACATTTCTTTTGCATTATTTAGTCTTGCAAAATGAATTAAATTATTTCGTGTACCCTCTCACTAATCGCTAATTGTCCATTAGTTGTTTTCATAACTTTATAGTAGTTTGCAGCTGTAGGAGGAGAGAAAGAATATAAGGACGGTTAAAGTTATCTAGCAGTTACCTTGAGCGCTACAATTAGTTCCATTTGGCAGCAAACCAAAGCCTAGATCTTTGAAACCTATCCAGTATACTGAATTATTTGGGCAACTAAAAATATCAGTACCGCATGACGAGTTGTTTCCCTGACAGTTGCACATATGAAATGTCTTACCAAGTTCGGTAGAATCTGTGGACATTTAATATTGATAAAACTTAAACGTATACATTACAAATATAAAAGAGAAATGATTCAATGTCTACACTAACCAATCGGAGTTACTAGTATGTAATTACAAATAGAAAAAGGGAGTCGTTATAGAACAAAATATAGCTGATTTTCAAGTCAATTATTGGAAAGTTAATGCCTTATATAAATATTTTTTCAGGATGAATAAAGTATTGAATATAAAGTATTGAATATATACATCAAAATGCTTTCAAACAGTACTTTACGTTTTATTTTTTACATTTGAATTGACAGGACGTAACCAAAAATAATTGAATGTCGCTTGTAATATTTCAAAAGTAAATGCAACAAAAAAGTTTTAAAAAAAACAAAGGTTGAAAAATATCATTATGCTGTATTTTTCCATTTGCTTCTTTAAATATACTTTTCATAAAAGTAATATATTTTGTCGATTATTTAAGGAATAATTTGCTAAATTTTTGAATTTCAGAAATATCGAAATTATCAAGAAGCGAAGCCGCTGACATGTGCATGTATTGTAATTGACTCATCTGACACTTATATGATAATTTCATGACGTCTACATTATGTCTATGACAACATGAAATATTATCTAGAAAAAATTATTCAAAGTTCCTTTATCTTTACCTTAACTGATGATGATTATTAAAACCAAACATGTTTTGATTAAAAATGTTGGTTCATTTATCCTATCCTTACTTTAAGAGAGAAATCATTAAACATTAGTCTAAATTGAATCATTTCAGTTGGTAGAAGCGATTATGTCATAATTCTGTTTGTTGATTTATTAACTTCACGATTGTATTTTCATTGGTTAACTATAAATTTACGTTTTTATCGTAATTTCTGTTTTAAGTATAATAATAATATAGAATCTATTCAGACAGTAAACATGTCATTGTTAAAGTTTGAAGCGATGGTGTCACAGTTTTATCTGTCGCTTTTACATATGCATTAATGGTATAAATATAAATAGAAAATCTTATGCCCATCTGAAGGTATATAGTGAGTGAACAGGGGAGAGTCAAATAAATTTTCATTTTGATGTAATTCCTTTTGATTTAATAATTTACTTCCCATAAACAATAAATAAGCCCCGGATTCAAACGAAGTTTCTGTAAATACCATTTAGAATTTACCTGTAACGTTCAATTTATAAAAAGAGTGGGGCAGTCTTTTATTATTTAAGGCAGATTTTAAGTTTTATAATAAACATTTTCCAATATAAACTGTTGGTCAAACACCATTTACACAGTCAATGTTTTGAAATATAAAGTCATTTCAGCTCAACTTGACTATGACTATGAAAATATGTGCATAATGTCACTTTAAAACAGGAAAAAAGAACATAGTGACTGTTTGGTTATATTAAAACCTTAAGGAATTTAGGATGAATCTTGGAAAAAAACAACCTTGATATGAGAAAAAAACATACTACATGTATATATGTATAATTCAATAATACCGTATGCTTGAAAGATGACAAAGTTATACATTGTACAATTTGCATTGAGATAATATGTTAAGCTTATAAATCCAGTATGATTCTTGTAATAAACGTTCCATATCATCGGAGACAATCTTTATATCCATACATTTAAAATCCTTAATACAATGATTGTTTTTATTTAAGAATGGAGCGACATTGGTAGAAAAAAAAACGGATCTAAGAAAGTTGATATCAAACCTAAGGCTATTTATGCGTTAAGACACTTGTTGCTTCGTTTGACCAACATATTGCTCTTTACATTTATCACATTTGACATAGTATATAACATTTTTCGTAGAACAATCAGTATTACTATTTACATGATAAATCTTACCCGAAATATTAGTTCTACTAAAAATATTGCTTTCAATAATGGAGCTGCAATGTGTAAATCTACTTCTATTACATCTGGATGAACATTTCGCTTTTTTGTTAATAGACCTTACAATTTTTAACACCCATATTCTATTTTATCAAAGATAGTGTCCACAAATATAACTAATCAATGTTTCACATATATCAAAATTCATTAAAGTTATTGTATAGCGAACGCCGGAATAAAAAAATGTGTTTTTGTTATTCATGCAAAGGAATGACACTTACAAAACACAAATACATGGACAATTCATTGGATGAATAGATGATACACACCACACAATTAGCATCTTGGGCAGTCAGAAGGAATAAAAAACAAAATCAATAAAAAACATTCATTTGATATCTATGATTAAATAATTCTAACCTATCTGATGGCACTGTGAGTAGATTAGAACGAAAAACATCAAACTGCACACGTTATTGTCCATGTTGTGAGGTGGTTGAAAATAACATACAAACTAACACCTTTATACGAAAAAACTACGTTTTTATTTATGTTTTATATAAACACAGTTCGTTTGTTCTTTATGAACAATGCTATTAGCTAATGCCTTATCAATATGCTTATTCATAAGATTAAGCTCTTGTTTTAAGTATTTGTTGATGGGAAATTACAAATTGAAAACTTAAATACCATTTCAAACACTCAATTCGTTTCAAAATTAGTGCCCATATAAAAGTATATAATCTACTTACATGTTCTTTTTTTAATATGAAATTTTATCATAAAAACATTTACATGATTTTGATATTTAATAAACGAGAATTCCAATTTTAAATATGAAAACGTGTCACTCAAAGGTCTCGATTTATCTAATTTGCAAGGAAGGAACAAGGAAGTACTTAATTGTATTTAATTAATGCTCCATATTCAGATATAAGTACAATAAGTAAAACTAAATATATTTCTTTAAAAAGTAAACAATGAGATTGAAATTTGAAAATAGCGCGTTCGTATAGAGTACCGGTATACCCAGCACTAGCACCCAAAACGCCGGCTATTGTAGTGTACAATCATTAAAAAAAATAGATTGTGTGCATGGAATAATGAGATTTTTTATTTATTTTTAGCTAGACGCTTTATCTATAATATACATTACAGTCTAGCGTTCTATCGTTCGGCTGCGAAGTTGCTGAGTCCAATGTGATTTTGAATAAGACGCTTAATTTACTGAGGAATTACACGATTTATTTTGAGAGTCGTCAATAAACACAAATACATAAAAAAACATTCACCACTTCATGACCAATTTTTCAATTTTGGCTTTGTTGCAGAACATTTCTATTTACATTTTCTTCTAATTGAAAGACAAATGTATTTGTAAATGTGTAGAATTTCAAACACAATTTAATTATAATTATAATGTATATATTTTATCTAGTCTACCTTCTCTTCTTACTCCACCTAAATAAAAAGAGAACTGTTCCGCATTTTGATTAAACGTATCGTTGTAAGAGCTGTTACATTACACTGTCATAAAGCATCTGAATTTTTGAATACATTGTATATCCATTAACTAACTTTTAGAAACTAGGAAACAATTTTGATACCAAATTTGCCACTATTTTGCACACTTTTTTTGCAAATGGGTCTATGAATAAGATACATGGTGTCGGATTCATTGCATTTACGACTTTGACTGAAGCGTACCCGTCCTGTCTAAGTATAAAACGAGTACTTCTACTGGGTCTGTAATGGAACTTTCGTATCGTAACACTTCACGTTTACATTACAAAAACTACGCACATCTAAACAGACATTCGCCTAGATAGCATTTTATTCAGCTCTTCTAAAGGTATGCAGTGCACAGCTGACCATACCTTCGCAGCCATTTTACGCGTGCGTAAAACCTCGCTTACTTTTATTTATATGCCGTAGTGGGCGACTTACTTGAAATCAAATGAATTTAATTGAAAAAAAGGAATGCTTTATTCATGTCAAACAAATGCAGTACATATAAATTTTCTTGATAATAAGTAGAGGGAGTCAGTACAGATTCACGCATTGTTTATTGTATATTCAATGAATACAATGTAAATTCTTTTGGGATTTGAATATGAACTTTTTTCCAAAAACTTACGTGTGGTGATTGTTATTTATTGTTAAAATGAGTATAATAATAATAATAATAATAATAATAATAATAATAATAATAATAATAAAATAGTATAAAAAAATCATAATAACAAAAACAACAACAACAATAATAATAATAAATATGTTCCATTTATAACTAAATATTTTACTAACTTTTTGTGGCATGAAATGTTAATTTCAAATAGCAGAAGAAATTATACGCATTTCGAAAACATCTGTTCTCTTTTATTTTACAAAGCCATTGCTTGAAATGTTCATAAAAAAACTTTAAAACGAGTAAAAATTAGGTCACATTTTAGCCCAAACAGCGTGATTTATAACATATGTTTAGATGTCTAGGAAAGGAAACATGCCAATTATGCTAAAGTAGTTTTCAACAAGAAACATTAAATTTTTCATGTTTTTTTCACTTTTCACTATATCATTATTTATAAAGATATTTGACAGGTTATAAGGCCCTATATAAACGGTTGTTTACATATACGTGTATAACCTAGACCCCTAGGTGAGTATTATTTTGCAAACTTCCTTTTTAGAGAAAAAAATCTTCATAAATTGACAGCAGCTGTGTATATTTAAATATGACCAAAGTTCAGATCTACTTCAGTTATTTTTTTCTTCTAGATCTGATTGGCACCGTATTTGTTTCACCTTTAATGTGATTCGGGTTTCAAAAGAAAACATTTTAGCCATGCAATTAAACCATCCTTATAAGACAGGCATAAGACGTAGAATAAAATATTGTTGTCCATGGAAGTAAATATATGGCTGATATTTTGTTAGAAAAGAAGTTTTTGAAGTAATGTGAAACAAATAAAATGGAAAAAAAATTCAATTTTAATTATTTTGCCAGTTTACCTGCCTGTTATATGGACAACGCCATATATGCATGTTGTCCTCGAAATCGTGAAGATTTCCCACCCATTATTCCTATTATTAGTTTTCCAGTAGTTAAATTTAGAAACCGCATCGCTTTCAAAATAGTGATAGCTTGCCAATGATCGGCTGTTTAAAAGGTCAGGAGAAGGTGACTTTCTATTAGTGCACTTCAGATCCTAATTAATGCGTAGCGTTAATTTGCAGCTGATTTTGATCAGGTTGCTGTGTATATAAAACTGTTAAACGTTGCGATTATCTTATGTAAAGCGCAGTATTATAAATGTCAATATAAATAGGTGCCAATGGGTGCGGTGGTACTTTTTATTTGCTCTCTTGTAGAGGATCAAAAGATGATGATACATCCCAAATCTTTATGCTCGACGCATTTTTGTATCTGAGAAGCAGAAAATTTTTAAAAGTCATATTAATGTCTATTTTTTACTAGCGTTACCTATGTTTGCATTTACATGTACATATAATTTTCGTCGAGAGACACCATAGCCAGGTTGGTGAAAGTCACCTAAACCTTTCTTTGTCAAACAAGTGGCGTGTGAACTGTCTCGAAAGGTCGGAAATAAAAAATCTTTGATTAAATGTATAGGAATGCATTTTTCAGCTGTCAGATTTACCAACTATTGTTTCTAGCTTTACACAAATCTGCGGAGGCATGAATACGCCACCAAGGAACGAAATTGTTATTGAATATATCGTGTCAAATATAGACGTCTTTTTTATTATTATTATTATCAATCAGGATCTCATGGTGAATTATCTATGAACAATTATAACTAAGGAAAAAATATCTGACAATTAGATATTCTAATACGTACGTTTATAATACATGTATAATAGGAGATAACGTCAAGGGGTATGTCATTTGTACTTTATATTTGTTTAAACGTACAAATTGTAACGAGACTATAAACATTAGTGTACAATAATATTATACTTTTTATATTCAAATTGATACTAGCCGTTATTATATACGAGCATTGACTTTTTGAAGATGTTACGAGATAAATTATAATTAGAGGTTAATTCTTGGTTGCTGATCTCCATTATGATCGCCCGAATATGTCCTTAATGGCCTGAGGGCCGCAGGACATTTGTGTGCAAGTGACTAATTGGAACGCCTCTGCTATTTCTCATTAAAACCTTAGACTTTATAGGGATTCCAAAGAGTCCTAGCTATTATACCGAGTGGTTTTAGATGTAAGCAAAAACAGACAGTGCAATCTTTCAGGAATGTATATATTTGACATCCAAAGGAAAATAAAGTCTATTTCTGTAAAATTTTGCTTGAAATTATGTCTTACAATCATAATCAATTCAAAAATGCCCACTGATGTATAATTATAAACAAGTCTGATTTAATGTCAACAAGTTTTCGGTTTCTACAACAATAATAATTAGAATATAAACAATGTTCAGTTTACTTTTATATCTATACATTTACTTAATTTATTTGAATTTTTGTCAAAATATTGGAGTAAACTTAGCCATCAACGCCCAGCATCAAACTACTTTTTGCTTATATGTTTAGTCTCATGGCGAAGGTTTGACCGAAATACTGTATTCATTTTGCATATTCTTACTATTGTTTTAGTGGTCCTTACCCGAAGTTTGACGGAGCGCGCATGACGAAAAGTTGCGATAGGCAAATGAATACACTTTTCTTAACGCCAACAGCTATTTTGAAAGTCACATAGATTTGATTACATAATTGTGCACGTTCATTCAATCACTCGCCTATAATGAACAGCACGGCACCCACAAATACATTATGATCAAGATCTTTCTATAATAGCCTTGAAATACCATAATTTTTGTTACTATATATAGTAACATTAGTATTAATTAGAAAACAAACATAAGTGCACAATCTACATGTTATATTCAATTAAAAATAGGCCTTTATTATATAGTGACTTCTTCAAAATGTAACGAATATTGTTAATCGGCACATCCCTGCAATAAACACATTTTTATGTATTTGCATTCATTAATCCAAAAAAGTCTTTACTGAAACTTTGACACTGTTAGCCAAAGAAAAGGTTGTAATGCACAAAAGACTTCGACAATGTCATTTTTGGCATCTTTACACCAACTTGCATAATTTTGTGAAGTATTTTGCGCAATTATCGGCATCATAAATAAGAACTCCATGAATGAATAATTATTTTATTAAGTGTTTAAAGAATAGGAATAAAAACTTTATCATCTAAAAGAAAAAAACGTGATATAATATTTACAATAACATTTAATAAATGTAATCTAAAAAATAAGACAATTATGCACCTTTTATGCCGCTCTTTGTAAGACACATTCAAGCGATTTAAAGATTGTTTATGCTTCTTAGAATTCATACGATGGAAATGTTCAACGTAATTATGCACTTTGTCAAAGATGTATATATTGTTAAAATTGTAAGACTTTAAATGTCCGAGAAAACCCTATTTATCACTTTTCTCTAACTGAACCATTGAAAGTCACTTTCTCTCAAACTGTCTAAGTATTTTGTAGTCGATGTATTCATTTTTTAACCATTTAATGTATTATCCGACGAAGTTTATATACTCTGAAATAATTAAAAAAACTGGTCAAATACATTACGTGAATTTAAGGAATTTTGGCACTTAAGAATCGCCGGAAATGTCTACTAGTTGATTTTTAATAAATAGAAGTAACTAGCACGTATATATTTCAACATAAGGACAAACCAAACCCAGCATGACCAGGTAGCATCTAAACAAGCACTCCAATCAATCCAACATCTTTGTTTGAAAGGCCTTTTATTTCTTCATGTGGTTCATATTTAGGTAAAATGTTTTTCCTGTTATCTTTCCACATGCTCTTGACCCAATTTAAAACGGCGTTTTATCCAGCGTAACTAACTGCATACATAAATCTCACGATTTATATTTGTCATACGAAAACCACGTTAAAAACATCCTTTAAAACGCTTGAATTAATTACAGTAACGCCAGCAGAATGTTTTCCAGCCATTTATACACTAATACCATAACATCCTGTATTTTGAATGACTGTGTAAATAAATCGTTGTAAGGATTTTTTAACACACTTCATGCATGCTAAGAGGATTTCAGTTATACATCCTAACAATTTTGGTCTCAGATACACGAAAATACAAATAAAACGAACATTCCTAGTAATATTCTAGTAAAATAAAATTTCTATAAGTTGAAAAGTACAAAGAATAGAGATTTACCATGGAGGGTGAAACTAGGCATCGCAACCAAGAAGCCGACAGGTTGAGCATTTATATTGACATTAATTCTTTTTACAAACTACTTATACGTTTTAATCATATGTTCATTTGACATGCCTTCATTTGATATTTGGATTGAAATTTACAAATATAATACAAAACTATCGTAGGAAGTATATGTACTTCTTTTAAGTATCAATAAACGATATTTAAAATTATTAGTTAATTCATCACTTTTGTTTCTATGCATAAGAAGTATTTTCTTCATCGAGCAATGCTTCTATTGTGTTCTTCTTTTTCCTCTTTTTCTTCTTTTTCTTCTTCTTTTTCTTTTCTTGTTCGTGGTCTTGACAATCTGACACGGTATTTTCCAATTCACCAATGGTGTTTCTTTTATCAAAAGTATTTTCCGTTAAAGGTACAGTATCGTGACTGCTCGTCCTCGATATATCCTCAAACAGTTTAGCATGAAGATCTTGACTCAGTCTAGCATTTTCTGTATCGTTTGCCGTAACTTTTCCATTTTTCCTCTCTCCAACTGAGCCTTGATGCGCACCAAATTCATTTTTCTGCGAAATGATATCGCTTCGACCCATTGGAAGTGGTGGTAAGGAGTTATTTGTGATGGAATTATTGCTTGATTGTTCTACAGCTTGTTTGCTTTGAAGTTTGCTTTGTCTGTTTCCTTCATTCGGAAGGTCTTTTACAACACGGTCTCGGTTAAACTTGTTGTTTCCTGGTTGTGTATCTCTCTGCGGTTCTGTCCTCTGCTGCAAAAATATAGAATATCATTAATAGCAACAGTGCAGAATTTGGTTTATTGCACGGACTACACTTATACTACTCAACATACTCAATAATAAAGCTTTTATTTTTGCCGATAAGAGCACCATTTAGACGTGTACCTCAAAAAGATAAATTGCCATTTAAAAAGCGTGGGGACTTTATAGCATTGTGTGTGTGTTTTTTTTTTGTTTTTTTTTATCGGGGTGTAAAATTTTTATTGAATATGTATAGGTATTTGCAGTCTCACGTTTGGAAATGTTTAAAGTACAATTCACAAAAATGACGACCAAAATGCAAAACAATGTGATCAAGTGTACTAAGCATGTTACAACATAAGTATTTGTTACAATTTGATTAGAAATCTGAAGAACCTTTTCTGCATTTCGCAAAGGGTGTTTACTTTAGGGTTTCATTTGTAAAAGCACGTATTATATTGTTTATCGTCTATCTTTTTGTAGCGTAATGTAGGGTAATGTTTTCAAAATACATGTCTTTAAATAAATTTGACAAAATGATATAATCGATCTTTTTCATTTTGTTTAGATATTCTAAATTTCACTTGTAACTTGATTTGTACAAATGTACAATATCGACGATCTCATAAGGGATCAGACATTGTTATTTCTATCAAATTATGTCGTTTTAAAAACCTCTTAAGTTAGGAATATCTTTTTAGCATTACTTACTTGTTTTTTCTTCAGGCAATAGAAAATGCAGCACAGAATGAGAAATATCAAGGCAAATGTACTCCCCTAAAATTTCCCAATTAACTTTCCAAATTTTATGTGGAAAAAAATAAATATACAAATTTTGTGTGGTGGTACAAAAAAGAAGGATAAAAAAGTTTTTTAAAAATCTATTGTTTTAAAAATACTTAAATTTAATAAACTTTTGTATAGATATTTGCTTCTTAAACAAAGAAAAACATCGGTGCGATTTTTTTCCCTTCTAAAAAATGTTGATTTTTGTATGAAAAAAAGAGTCAATGGCATAAAAACACATAGAGCTACGTAAATGTAGTCTGGTTGTTGGGGTTTAATACCTTTAACACATATTTTTAGCAAAAAAATTTTCAAAAAATTGACTTTTTTTTTTAAAATTTGATTAAAATTTTAAAAAACATGAGTGGGAAATAACAACTTTGGGATTTTTTTCATTACAAAAAAGCGTGATAAACACAACGAGTACAAACACCTCTTATAAAAATGATAAATTATAATTGTAAATGAACTATGGTACCAATATGAATATTTATTAGTACATGTATGATAATTACCCTTGCACTACATTTCTGTTAATGTATTAAACATGTTTCATTCCAGATATATTATGAGATTTGCATTACAGTCAATGTGGAGATTTCATAAAAAGAAGAGTTGAAATCTAAAAAATAACCTTTTCCATCATTTGGCTTGCTTGAATCTCCAGGTTTTTGTGTCTGTGTGACGGATTGACCGGCAGGGGTTTTCGAAAATATATTTGAAGTAATCGATGTCAATAAACCATTAGATCTACTTGGGTTAACAGATGACATTCCTTGCACGATTGAAAATGCGTGTTGTGATGATTTTGTAGACCGTATATCTAGAGGCATTGATGTTACATTTACAGCTTGTGTTAGGTTTGAAGTATTCTGTGTTGTATATGACAACGACAAAGACGAATTATTTGACGGTGAACGTGAATGATTTAAAGCTGCAGAGGGAGATGTTAACGCTGGTTTGTAAATGTTGTCGGGGACTTGTGGAATTTGAAGATGTTGTTATTTCCATTACAAAACTGAAAAGATAAGGCAAAATCTTCATTAAAAAAAATTTACAGAAAAATTTTTGGGCGGCCATTCAAAATATAAGTCCAAAATACATTAAATGTCTTTTTTTACTCTATTAATTGTATTTTAAAAATTTAATCCCCCTTTAATAAAATAGAAAAATACTTTTTTACTTTTTTTGAAAATTTTTTATTATATTTTATAAATTTTTTTTTTCATTCTTTTGCAGTTTTCTTTTTTTTTTTTAATTTTTTTTGAAAATATAAGGGGGGAAGTTAAGACTAAAAGTATTTTCGATGTTTAATTTCCCTTTGCTTTTTTTTGGGCAAAATTTTTTAAAAATAAAAATATTTTGTTTTTTAACCTTAAAAACTTATCCATAGTTTTCCCCCCTGTGAGGGCATTATTCTCCCAGTTAAGTACAAATTGTTCGCTTGAAAATGGACCTAAATCAGTAACGTTTATCATATCTTTAATACTTCTTGCCATTTCCCACCTCTTTGTCCAATTTTGGTTTCTGTTTGACAAGAGCAATAATTGGTTTTCCACAAGCCTGTTGTCATACGTTCGCAATAACAAGCGTGTTGAAGTTATTGTGAGATTGCAGGAACAAGACCGTATACTTGTACTTATATTTTCACGTGGATACTCTACACTCCACAAACTAAGTCTTGAAGCCGTGTTATGGTAATTGCATTTCTGATCAAACTGCAGAGCTTGAAAAATAATGATACGTTGTCTTTCATCAGAACTTCGTAAAAGTGTGAGAAAAAAAAACAATGTTTTAAAGAAGTTCAATTAAAACAAATTATATCGTAAACTGTTACAGAGACAGTTCAAAAAGAATGTTTAAGACAAATCCTTTGGCGAATATTGTTGGCAATATTTAGCTGAGACTGATTAATTTTCAGAAGATATTTTTGTCCCCTTTTCTTTTCGTATTTTATTTAATCGATTATTATTTTCTAAAACTTATATGCAACATAAGTTGATCAATCTTATTTCTAGCGTTAATTCTTTAAAGAAATTCACAACTATAAAAACAAATATTTTCATTTTGTTATTTTCAATTACTTTGTAAGGCGTACAATTGGTAATTCGCATGCATGAAAAACATAGTGGTCAATTGTTCCATTTAAATATGTTAAAAATATCAGAGAAAATATAAAAAATAATGTTAAAATAATAATGTTTTCGTTCCTACAACCTCTAAAGTTGTAACTGATTGTCTTACCACCAGTCATTGAGAATAGAAAGGTAATATTCAAGCCGTCTTTTGCTGTGATTTAACAATGTACGTACACATACCGTTGAGGAATAAATTAAAAAAAATATGGTTTACTTCTATATCCGTTAATTTCCAACATATAGTCATTAAATACTCAAATGTTTGAGATAAATATTACCAAACAATATGTTTTATTTTAATTAAAACAATGCAAAGTGTTGTTTTTACCAATTTCATAACACAACAGCATGTATTTACTAATACTGCAACAAACAGTTTGTTAAAGTACAACATTCCTTACCATCATCTTCATCTTCGTGAATACAGTCATAATTCGCGATGAAGTATGCACTTTGGTTCGGGTAGAAGTATTTGACATGAACATCTTCTGTTTCTTTCGCATTTTGAAGTCCAGAATATTTTCCCATAATATCTACTGTGAAGTTCCGTATCATATCCGTGTCGTTTGGTTTAGGAATTAACGTAGAACTGTCTTAAATTAGAAAAAAAAGAAACAACAACTTGAATCTGATGACTTTTTTCACTTGGTTCATTTTGTAATAGGAGTAATAAGAGTAACACTCTTGATAAAGTGTTATCCCTTGGGAGCATTTAACACAAAAAATACTTGAAAAATTGCAGACTCTTTTTTATTGAGTCTGTACATAAGAGTTAATGAAAAAGTAAGACTTCAACATCACTCATACCCCAAGGCACTGGCCAATCTATTTGCAACGTAGCCTTGCCTGGAGGTTTAATGATGACCTAGAAACAATGTTTCATATATTATATCAGAAAGAGAATTAAGGAAAATCAACGACAAGACAGCTGATCTAAAACCTGAAGGGGAAATGATGGGAATAAACAGGATCAATACAAAACATATAACATGCTAGTATGCTACATTTTAACTTCTGAAAACTTTGTTGCTGAATTACGTTTAGAAAAAAAGTTTCTTTCATATTGGTACGTGTCGTATCTATATTTTCATTTTTTATTATTATCTTACAAGAAAAAACTTTAAATTTATATTTTTGTAGACATTTTACATACTATTCCCTATACTCATGCATCGCACTGCTATCCAAATAAGGTGTTGGATACATTAAACAAATTCATACGGAAGCGTCCTGCTGCAAATTTAACGTGTTCTATAAAAATTGAAAACTCCTACGCAGGAAAGCCTTTTTAGGAGTGTGTAACTCCTACGTAGGACTTTATAAGTCCTACGTAGGACTTTGTGACTCCTACGTAGAAGATTAAAAAGCCTAATTAGGAGTTTATAACTCCTACGTAGGACTTTTTGTAGCACTTTATAAGTCCTACGTAGGAGATAAAAAAAGCCTAATTAGGAGTTCATAACTCCTACGTAGGACTTTAAAACGCCTACGTAGGACTTTTTAACGCATACGTAGGACTTTTTAACTCCTACGTAGGAGATAAAAAGCCTAATTTGGAGTTTATAACTCCTACGTAGGACTTTTAAACTCCTACGTAGGACTTTTAAACTCCTACGTAGGACTTTCTAACTCTTACTTAGGACTTTCTAACTCCTACGTAGGAGATAAAAAAGCCTAATTAGGAGTTTATAACTCCTACGTAGGACTTTATAACTCTTACGTAGAGGAACACTTGTAAAGTCCTAAGTAGGACTTATAAACTCTTATGTAGGAATTTCAAACTTCTAATTAGTTTTTTTTATCTCCTGCGTAGGAGTTATAAAGTCCAACGTAGGACTTACAAAGTCTTTCGTAGGAGTTATCTTTTATAGAACATGTTGAATTGGCACTAGGACACTTCCGTAAATACATGTATTCGTCTTTGAACTTTTTTCTCGGTTATGAGATAGGTCTAAACAGTTTGAAAGTAGTTTGAAACATACAACAAATCTTTATAATCCATTATTATCAGTAACATTTAGGTAACCAAATTGTTGACATGAGCTGAGATCTGAACACCTTCGACGTAAGTTAAACACTTGATATTTCAGATAAAAAGCAACTGATTCCATATGATCTATTTAATGACACTTTGTGCTAGTCAGCATGCCTCCAGATACATTTGCTTATTTTCATGAAATTTAGAAATTGTAATATAAGTAAAACAAAGAAAGTAATTTGCATATTGCAATCGACACTTACAAGCCACGCAAATTACACCAAAAAAAGTCAAGACCATGCAAAAACAGCATCACGCATTTGAAATATGGTGATAATTACAGCGAATTAAGTCTATAATCGCACGTAACATGTAAATAATTATTGGAATTGTTTTACCGTTATTATCAGATTTTCTTAAAGTATTTTGGCTCATCTGGAGGCGTGCAACTGGAGACTGGATTGTCCCTTTTCTTTGTGTGTAAATCATTTTATTACATGCTTTTCGGTGGTTTATAGAAATATATCAGAGAAATATAAAACTGATATTTTACCATTTAAATCAGTGAAAATATTAATTTGATATTTTACTGTTTTGAATCTAAGCCCATTACGTTGTTTCGGTGAAACACCAGCGAGCACAGCACTAGGACGTGACGTCGTAAATGACGTCATATATGTAGGGCATTATAATTTGGTGCTCTTTCAATTTTGAATTACGTTAAAATGCCTTTTTAAAACGTTTCTTCGCATGTAATAAAAAGATTTTTTTTAAATTAGAGTTAGATCGAAATATATTTCACCTCGTGAACAGAAAAGGTTTATATATCACTTGTGGCTGCTGACTCGGTGAAATATATTCCACTAAACAAATATCCTCTATTTGTTTTGTATCGGTCTGATAAAATGGAGGAATGACGTTAGGCCTATGGATAAAATTCAACTTTTCAAAAATAAATACCTATTGCACTGCAATTATTCCCGTTTTCCAAATGTCCAAACCCAAAATACCGAAAACCTATCCAATGGATATCATCACCACCCACGCAAGAAATGCTACCAGTTGCACATGTGAAGTTATTATTAGGGCATCTACAGAAGTAAGTTGTCTTGTTAATCATGTCTGTCTCTGCAATATAATAACAAACAAGTAATAAGCTAGAGTCAATCATCCCCCTTTCAAACACAAAAAATTAACACATTTTTTAATGATAAATGTAAGTCAGAATCGAATCGTTTGTAAGTTTAAAAACAAAGCTAAGAAATATATCCTTAGGTTATCCGGTTTCAAATTCGTCTGCAAAAGAGAGTAAACAGACGGAGAGCAAATGAAACATCAAACACATTGGCCATTACTGATTTGTTTATATTTATTTTCTTAATCTAAATTAGAATCTTAATGGTAATTTCTACACTTACAAAATGTGCGATTTAATCCTAAAATATATGTATTTCAACCATAATTATATCTCTCTTATATAACTACTTTATCAATCATATGCATCCAATGAGGTAAATTTATCATATTTCAATTTTAATGGATCCAACGTAGAGTTAAAATAAATTATCTTTTTTACTGGAAAATGAATTAGAGAATATATGGGCAGACATGGTGTCTTAATCCTTCATAAATGGTCAAATGCAAATATACATGTATTTAAATTGAGAGCATACTTTATCTATAATTTTCATTTCAATTGTTTCTGTAAGATGTCATTCATCCTAAAAAAGTATTATCTCTTATCACACACTACTAACATAATAGTATATGCTTTATCTAGCTATATGCAAAGGTGCAATTGCATTGCCAATCACAAATGTAAGGAGTAAACAATTTTTTCCAGAGAAAATATAAAAAAAATAGTTAGAAATGTTTATCTTGAGCCCCACATGAAGTGTTTTCCGATCAATCAAGTACAGAATACAAAGAGTTCATATAGCTGGAACTCTTCGGAAAAAATCATAGCGTTACATAGTAGTAGTATCAAAATTTCAAAGTCACCGCACGATCTGCTGAGTACTATATTTTGCTTACTTTATTACTTTCTTATATTAAATATATCAGTATATTTCATGAATCAATGAGGGAAACCCCCAAATTTTATAAGCAATAAAACAAGATTGTCATGTGCGATATCAACCTATTGATTTAGCACGCTGGAACATAGAAACGCACTCCTACTTTTAAATTCGTTGATTGCGATAAGCCATACAGATTATAAAAGCAATAAAATAAAATTTTGATTATCCGAACTCTTTGAAATCTGTTTGCTTGTTAATGGTTTGAAAAAAAAGTTACTCATTTCTTGATTTGACTTAAGGTATCCACCTAATGTATTACCTCCGCTTTGAAGAATACGAGTATTAAGATAGGCTAGAATAAATGTAAACTGCATCAAATGAAACTGAGGGACGTTTGTAAAAACGCCAAAGAGTAAACTTTACTTCTCCTTCTTTCTTTTTACATTTTACCTCTTGGAAAGAAATACGGTTTATTTCTAATAATATAACTATGTATAGGTTAGAGTGCATATTGGGTGTTCTTCGTAAATAAGAAAGCTAAAAAGGAGCGGAGCTTGCGAAGCGACTGTAGCTTTCTTATTTACGAAGAACATCCAATATGCACTCTAACCGGCTTAGTGCTCCGCCCATTTTTTTCCGCCCAACACACTGTGTGACGTCACACGATAGCCTAAATGTGTATAACCATATTTGGAAGAGGTAGCGGTACACATTTTCGGGTCACATGTTTTGCATAGCTTATTCTCGCATTCTGTCTAGGTAAATAGATGGATAACAATGCAGTAAAAAATTCATTGTAATAAGGAAAGGAGGTATGACACGTAAAAAAGATGTATACCACGGAACACTAGAATGTTTTATTTATGTGCTGATTTGTCATGTGCCCGATTTTCATGTACTGCAACTTCACAATAAGCTACAAAAAATCGACATGTCTTGCCTCGCCCGTCACCTCGACATATTTTTCGGGCTGAAATGAACCTGTAGCTTGATTATATATGCATCATACATATTTATTATGGTCATATACATATCATCTTCGGACTAATGGCAGTATATTGTAAAATTAATAAAAACGCCCTACTTTCGGTTTTGCAGCTGCACGGGCTGTAATATTTACATAAAAAGTAAGAAATATTACATACATACTTTGTTGGAATAAGTGAACTTTTTATTTGGAAATTATAAATTGATACTGGTTCCGTTAGTAATAAAACATTTTTACTGTTATTTTGCCTGTTTTCATTTCAATGAACCTCTTTTTTTAATTTTTTGCCGTAGTGACGAAATACATGTGCGTGTACGGAAAAAACATTTTGCATAAATATTAATTAGTAGGAGTAAACTACAAGAACTCTGCACATGCGTACATTTCACTTAAGCGCTCTTCGAAACTTAGCTCCGCCCACTTGCGTTTTATAATATAAAACGTTCAGTTTATATAAAATCTGTTCTATTAAGATTTGAAACCTGAAAATTTGAAAAATCCTCGTCGGTGATTGGCTTAAAAAAATTGGCGAGCACTAAGTAACTATTGAAGGTATTTATAGGCTAAAATAAGGCTAAAAATTGCCAATTTTTATAAATAAATATGGTACCTAATATTTTCAAAGTTAAATAAAATTAAAACTACACGGTAAAAGTATCAGTATATTTTATTTGATGATATTAACCAATATATATATTTTTAAGAAAATTTAGGCAAACTTTAAAAACAGTCCCTAACTTTTGTAAACTTAAGGGATATTTTGAATAAGGCTCTCTAAGTAGGAAAACGGTCAGATAAGTGATTATGGGTAGGTATGGGTAACATTTGTATACATATTTCAAAGATTTTTAGTAGAACCAATAATTTTGCGTGTGTGATATTTTTAGCTTAATGATGACAAGACAACGACAACGAGGGGGTTGTAAAGGTGATGATGGATCATGATAAATAAGGACTAGATATAAATCTAAAATTGGTATCGGGATTGGTAGTCTTGAATAATAACATTCAGTAAGATTATAGAAATATTATTATCGCCATATCTGAATAATTTGAAGGAGGGGAAATAAACGAATTCTTACCTGATCGATATCTTTGAATACTTATAAATATAATGATCGCTTTGAATAAAAAGTAAATTCTCATCTTTCTTTATCAATGCTTCACAAAATAGTTGAAAAGTTAATTAGTATTATAGTCACATCACTTCAACTGGTACAGTAACCGTTTGGTGTTGCATGCGTATATAATCGTGCCAGTCAAGTGACAGATTGATTGCGTTATCTACGGATTAATATCGACTTGTCTCGTATTATAAACTCATGCAAGTTATATTATCAAACCTTTGTCTTAAATATTGATAAACCACTGGAGTGTTTGGCGCTTATCTTACCGGCTTGATTTAAACTTCCTATTAATTTGCTGTAGAAACAAAAACAGTGGTCTATATATGTACTATATCAATAGACCACCCGTGCTTTTTTTGAAGTAAAGATTGATATTATCTCTTGGTTAAATTTATTTTACTTTGTTGTTTCTTATCATTTTTCACGAATTGAACAAATCCTTGAAAGATTATGTAATATATTGTTCAATACATTTAGTATGAAAAATATTTTCCCATTGGTAGTTGATTTACTGATATGTAAAAGATGTCATGTTTTTTTTTTTTTTTTTTTTTTTTTTTTTTTTGGGGGGGGGGGGGGGTCGTTTGTTGTTTTTTTTTCTTCAAATAAATGGTTATATAGTAACTTCATCATTGAATCCCATCCCTCACCCACCCCCGCAGCCGCCAACAAAAGTCCCTTAAATGTTGCTATTATGTGATTAATTCCGCTGTTACCACCATTTTGATAATATATCTCCCCAAGAGGTCTACTGTTTTGCACTTCCCTCTAATAGAGCTTTAAATGTATGTCATTTATCTTTTTAAGAATGTTGACATGATTTAATAAAAAAAAAGTAGAACAAAGTCTTTAAATCGCCTATATTGGAAACGCAGGAATGTAAAACTAACGTAGAAATAGTGCAATAGTATTACAAGGAAGTGCAAAACAGTTCAATGTTATTATTTGTTTCATAACTATGACCAATAGCAAAACATTTTCAATACGGATGATATCATAGATCTCAAAATTATTTATTACTGAGTTTCTTCATTTCTGAAAAAGAGCCCTTCTAATAACCAAGCTTTAGTTCATAAAAATATTCATAACTCGTAAATCATACGGTAAACTTAGGGGAATCTTACCTCCAGCACACATTCGGTGCGTAATATATTTAAACAACTTCTACACTATTTCGATCATTATATTATATTATATTATATTATATAGTGTTCAAGTCATTTTCTTTCACGTATGCTTATGTCCACATTTTGTTCAGTATTTTACACTTATAGCATTTTTTTCAGAATAGGCGGCCACTTTTACTATTTAGCGTTATGACCGGAATGTCAGCATTCTTTAATGAAAATGAACCCCTGTCATTATTTGTAAAAGAATATATTGACTAACCAGGCATAATATTATGACCCCTATACACATTGTACAATGGTCCACACTAGGAATTGTGACCATCTCAGAAAAAGAACACTCTCAGTATATAGCACGCACATGCTGTAGCAAAACATATCACTCTCATACCAAGAAATGGTTTACAAAACATATATAGTTCACCAATTACTAGTATTAATTACTGTTCAAATGTATATATATATGTATATCCATGCTGAAGTTGACTATCCCGAAATGTTAATTAAAGTTTCCAAAGATACCATTGAGTACTGTATTTACAAAACACAAAAAAGTTATATCAAATAATGATAAATATAAAGAGCAAATATTGCTCCATATGATTTGAGAACAATGTGGTCACCTAGCCTGAGTAATGAATGCCATATTGGACAAAAATGACAGTGTCGCTTAAATAATATTTTATTAAAATATGACAGCTGCAAAATGTTGGCCCTTAAATCATCTCAGTGTTTTCATATTTTCCAACGGATCAGGTACGTATATTAACGTTAATATACGTACCTGAACGGATCAATGATTCCATTACATTTGCTTGTTGAGTATTGAATACAGATTAATCGGAGATTGCGGGCGTGAGAGAATTTGTAGCTTTTCAATTTAAAATACTTCGGAACAGTCTCAATCATACAATATAAAATACAAGAACAGAATGGTTCGTGAGCCTCCGTAAACGTTTATAGGTCTGCATATGTTGCATAACATAAAAGTCAAAGATAATTACTTAAGACGGTGTTGCGATGTCCAGCAACGGTATAAATAATTTAGAGATCTATCATAGTCAATATTTTACAGGTTTCTGAGGAGAAGGTTATTGTCCTTCAGAGGGAGTATATATTTATTTTTGTATATTCAACTATTTCTTCCCGAGGCCAGTGACCTGTTTTCAAGGCAAATAAAATACCTTCTTAAGTTTGTAATAAAAATATTTTGGGACGTATTAGATGCGGCTAATTAACATGAAAACATTAAAAAAGTTACCAAATTAGAAAAGATCACTTATATTACTAGATGACCAAGTCATATATATATGTGCTTGATTGTGGGTATAAATTGTTAAAACAATTGATTGACAAAGCGTCTGGTTTATAGATCTATGTGTCGGGATAATCTCTTCACCCACTATAGTATAAATATATTTATTTATTTGAATTGCTTCAACCAACAGGTGCTTGAAACAAACTTTTTAAAGTTTTATATGGGCAATATAATACTATATAATATACATATAAAGACCGATTATGAAAAATATTTGATTATGTGACTAGCGCCTGTGCTCAGACCACTAAAGTATATTAAATATAATTTTTTATTTAAAATGCTCACAACTTGTTTTCTTTTTGATATTAGAAAAAGAGACATTCTTGTCAATCCGAGTCAATTAGCATTTAGCGGTGTTTTCTGGAAATTAAAATAATTTAGTATTCTTTCACCTAATTCTATTTTGTTGATTTAAGCGACAAAATGGAGGAAAAAACTTCGAAGGGTAAAAGTCATGCCGATGAATTTACTGTTTTACCCGCACATATGAGTGGTGGGCCAAAAGGTTTAGGTAATAAGTAAAATATTTATAATTTATTTCAGAACTATTATTCTATGTGACTGACAATTTGTATACTTGAAGAATTTACATAAATTAAGATAGTGTAACTCTTTCGGATTTGTATTTTCGTATAAATGACATTGGATTATATAAAAAAGCGAACTTTTTAAAGACTCGAGAGTAAAATAAAATGTAGAAAAATGTGTCCAGGATTAACATATACTCTTATTCAGTGCATTATACAGTATTTCTGGATCTGGATTGTATGTGGCAGGGCCATTCAACACTGTTCAACATGTAACAGGGCAGATCCTGTGAAACACAGCTTCTTGAATTCACAGATGACATAACCCGGAACATTGAAAATGGCAAACAGACTGATGTTCTCATCATGGACTTCGCCAAGGCCTTCGACAAAGTATGTCACAGCCTTTTATCCCACAAACTGGAGCACTATGGCATCAGAGGCAAGACCAACCTGTGGATTCAGGCTTTCTTAAGCAACCGATAACAATCTGTAGTCTTGGAAGGGGTAACCTCAGATACAGTATCTGTAGAATCCGGCATCCCACAGGGCTCAGTCCTTGGCCCGAGTCTGTTCCTTTTCTTACATAAATGACATCCCAGAGGGTCTCAATGCAGTCGTCCAACTATTTGCAGATGATACGCTGGCCTACCTTGCCATCACCAACAAATCTGACTGTTCCACCCTACAAGCTGACCTCGACACACTAGCTGTCTGGGAAGAGGAATGGAAAATGTCATTCCACCCAGACAAATGCCAAGTCTTCACCATCTCCAAGAAAAGAAGGCCAATCTGCCACAACTACACTCTTCATGGTCATACTCTAGAGCATGTCACATCAGCTAAATACCTTGGATGCACCCTGAATGACAACCTAGCCTGGGGCCAACATATAAATAACATCTGTAACAAAGCCAACTGCACCACCAGCTTCCTGCGAAGAAACCTTAACATCGCCTCTACGTCCACCAAAGAAACGGCCTACAAAGCTCTAGTCCGCCCCACAGTGGAGTATGCAAGCACTGTCTGGGACCCCCACGAGAAGGGAGACATACACTGTCTAGACATGGTCCAACGACGTGCTGCACTGTATGTTAAGAACGAGTACCACAACAGGTCCAACGTCACAGACATGCTTGCAGACCTAGAATGGAAATCATTACAAGAACGTTGCAAGGAGGCCAGACTGATCATGCTCTACAAAGTCATCAACAACAAGCTCGCTCTAGACAACTCTTAACTTATACCCTCCAACTCCACATCTACAAGAAATTCACACAACCTATCCTACAAGATTCCCTTCTGCGGTACACAATACCTTCAACAATCCTTCTTCCCACGCACCATCAAAGACTGGAACAGCCTACCTCTGGATGCTACGTGAGCCGGTACAGTTGAGTCAATCCATACTCATCTGTCCCAACTCTATATCTTAACCACACTCTTGTCTGTTTTTAACCTGCACTGTATATATTCCTCACTATTTTTACTCTTTCTTTCCATCTGGCGCATTAACCTGGCAGTAAACTTCAGTTAGTTGAAGGTGGCCAGTATATTGGAAGAAGAAGAAGTATAATCAATGGGAGAGATGAGTTAGTCCAAATGGAATACCGCTGATTTGAAGCTGTCTACTGTCTTAGCTTGCAGTGGTGGTGGTGGTGTTGGTTGTTTTCACTCCGGATCACCACAGTAAGCCACAAGCCCACATTGAATTCACCAGAGCACAGTTCAACCACCGTATCGATCCTGGGCAGCCTGTAAAGCAGTACTAGTTGCATACTCTTTCGCAAGGAACTGAAACTTCTGTATATGCCAGAGCAGAGGTATAGTAGAAAGGATTTCATGATCAATCACAAAAGTTACCTGCGCCTTCGGGGAATCAAACCCGGGTCGCCCATTTCACAGTCCAACGCTCTACCTATTGAGCCAACGTAGAGCACAACTCTATCACTCAATATATACCAACCGACAATTGTTTGTGGGAAAGAATGATTGGTTAATAACTTAATGTTTTACATAGTACAGTTTTAAAGAAGTTTTGAACAATTTAAACCTGAATTATATCTTATGAACATGTCCAGTGCAAGTCAGCCCTTCTCCAAGTTAACCTTGCCCTAAATTAGACAGTCCAGCCCCATGTAAATGTGATCCATTAACATGTTTAATTATGCTTTGTTATCATGTTAAAACAAGAATAATTATGTTTTGTTATCATGTTATAACAAGTATTATTATGTTTTGTTATCATGTTATAACAAGTATAATTATGTTTTGTTATCATGTTATAACAAGTATGATTATGTTTTGTTATCATGTTATAACAAGTATTATTATGTTTTGTTATCATGTTATAACAAGTATTATTATGTTTTGTTATCATGTTATAACAAGTATTATTATGTTTTGTTATCATGTTATAACAAGTATTATTATGTTTTGTTATCATGTTATAACAAGTATTATTATGTTTTGTTATCATGGTATAACAAGTATTATTATGTTTTGTTATCATGTTTTGTTATTATGTTATAACAAGAATAATTATGTTTTGAAATCTTTGTCTGAAAGATAAAAGGTAGTTATGCTCTGTTTAAACTTAAAATTAATCTTTACCTGTGATACTTAGTTGTCTTTGGGGTAATTAAACTAACCCTGTCTAGAAGTTCTACATATTTGTTTTCTAGCATTATTCAGAACATGACAATAAATTTATACTTTTTTTCCTCTTATCATTTTGAAACAGGTGACCCAGATGACAGAACCTTGCGAGTACTAGAAAATGAGCTGATATCAAAGAGAATGAGAGAGGAGTCTAGGAAATTATGTGTTGATGATGTTAAGGGTATGATTATTGAACTTCCAGTTTTTAACCAGGTTTTCCGAAGGAAAAACTGGTTATTAGATTGAGGTATGTCGGCGGGCGGATGGGCAGACGGGCGGGCGGGCGTAAACAATTTCTTCTGTGCGCAACTCCTCCTACATTTCTCAACGGATTTTGACCAAACTTTCACAGAAGCTTTGTCATCAAGTGCCCTGGCGCATATTGTCGGGGTTTTGCGATTAGATAATATTTGACCTAATTATGGCCCTTTGTTTTTTTTCCTTATATAGAACATATAGTGAACAATTTCTTCTGTGCGCAACTCCTCCTACATTTCTCAACGGATTTTGACCAAACTTTCACAGAAGCTTTGTCAACAAGTGCTCTGGCGCTTATTGTCGGGGGTTTTGCGATTAGATAATATTTGACCTAATAATGGCCCTTTGTTTTTTTTTCCTTATATAGAATATATAGTGAACAATTTCTTCTGAGCGCAAGTCCTCCTACATTTCTCAACGGATTTTTACCAAACTTTCACAGAAGCTTTGTCATCAAGTGCCCTGACGCATATTGTCAGGGTTTTGCAATTGGTCTATATTTGACCTAATTATGGCCCTTTGTTTTTTTTCCTTATATAGAATATACAGTGAACAATTTCTTCTGAGCGCAACTCTTTCTACATTTCTCAACAGATTTTGACAAAACTTTCAGAGAAGCTTACTCATCAAGTGCCCTGACGCATATTGTCGGGGTTTTGTGATAGGATAATATTTGACCTAATTATGGCCCTTTGTATATTTTTTCCTTATACAGAATATATAGTGAACAAATTCTTCTGTGCTGCACTCTTCCTACATTTCTCAACGGATTTTGTTCAAACTTTCACAGAAGCTTTGTCATCAAGTGCCCTGGCACATATTGTCGGGGTTTTGTGATTGGATAACATGGTTCGCACGGGCCTTGAAAAGTCCTTGAATTTGGTTTCAACCTTGAAAAGTCCTTGAATTCAGGGTTGCCTTGAAAAAACACTAAAATTGTCCTTGAATTTCAGTAAACCCCCTTGAATTTCGGTAAAATGCCTTGAAAATCCAAAAGGGTATAAAACCTGTCGCTGTAAAGGTCAGGCAAATTTTCCGCTACAAATCGGACATGTGAACGAAGGCAGCCCGATCGAGTGCGCCCATTTGGATCTGTTTTAGTAGTGTTTAGCCAGCGTTACGGTTTTGGCACGAATTTTAACAAGCACTTGTGTATGACGTCATCGCAAATTGTGTACAAAATGTCAGCTTCCATTGCGAAGTAAAAAATGGGAAAATACACTAAGAAATGTACGTTTCAGCTCAAATGGCTTCAACAATACAGTTGGGTAAAACAAGTTATACAAGACCCACGAAAAGCACAATGTACCATGTGTATGAAAACCATCGATTTGTCGCAAATGGGAGAGAGTGCATTAACATCGCATGCGAGGGGTGCAAAGCACCTAAAAAATCTAGACATCAAGTCGTCATTGACGAAGTGTGGCCTTGCATTTGTCAGACAGGAAGGAACTATAAATGTCAAAACTGAAAATTGCAGTAGATCTGATTCAAATAATAACATTGTGCCATCCCCATGACAATACCACCCCCACCCACTTCTAGTAATCATTGATTTGTGACTGAATCAAACATTCTAAGAAAGGGCTTCAAAGAAAAGAAACTGGAAGTTGAGGAAATTGGAAGAGAAATCCAAAAAAGAAAGGAAAAACTAGATAGAGTTGTGTGAATTTACTCAATCACCTATATGTTACAGTTTTGGTGTTCATATATTCTACTGACTGCTGATTTTCTAAATATAGTCACTGTTTTGCAATTCTAGTCATTTGAACCTTAAATTGAAATACACATGTTTTATTTACATGTTTTATATCACAGATATGGTTGTAAAAGTATAATTTTAAATAAGATCAATTGCAATAAAAATGTATATCACAGATATGGTTGTAAAAGTATAATTTTAAATAAGATCAATCGGGAAAAAAATGCCTTGAAAATGACAATTTTACCTTGAAAAGTCCTTGAAAAGTCCTTGAATTTTGATTTGAGAATTTGGTATGAACCATGGATAATATTTGACCGAATTATGGCCCTTTGTATATTTTTTCCTTATACAGAATATATAGTGAACAAATTCTTCTGTGCTGCACTCTTCCTACATTTCTCAACGGATTTTGTTCAAACTTTCACAGAAGCTTTGTCATCAAGTGCCCTGGCACATATTGTCGGGGTTTTATGATTGGATAATTTTTAACCTAATTATGGCCCTTTGTTTTTTTTTCCTTATACAGAATATATATAGAGAACACTAGTCTTCTTCTGTGCTCAATTCCTCCTACATTAGTCATGTTTTACATTGCACATAGTTACATTGTTTGTTGCTTGTATTTGTATTTCAAATACAACATAATTATTTATCTACAATGGTGATAATTGAAAACCTGGTTTCATGGCATTGCCATGTTTCTTGTTTCAGTTACTACTTGTACTATTTACTAGCCAACTGCTTCTTAATTATATCTCAGTGAGTTATTTTATAGATGATATAGAATGATAAGGGTTATCATTTAGAGGTGGCAGGAGACCAAAAAGGCTGTCTCAAATGCATTTTGGGCCGCCTCGAAACTAAGAAAACACTCTTTGTTATATTTGATGAAAACAAGAATGACTGCCTCAAATTCTAAACAAACGTTAGAAAAAATAATTATGACAACCCTGAATGATACACAGTTCTTCATACTACAGTTATGTGGAGAATATGACAATCATGTCCTATTTATACACAAAACTCTTCATAATACAGTAAACTCAGCTTATAGTGAACTCCCTGGGACATTAATAATTTAAACCATGTGATGCATGTGTGTTTGTATGTCAAACAATATCTAGGACTCTGGGTCACTTCTTGCCTAAATTGTATGTAATGTGTCAGTAGAAATGTTTGGTCAAATTTGTAAAAAAGGGGGCCCAATAATTTCCTCCGAATCATAATCTTGAGAAAGAAAAGGACAAAATATTTTGATTGATTTTAAACTTTGTAATGTGGCAAATTTTTAAATGTTAACATATGATATAATTATAGTACAGGTAATTATAGTACAGGTAATTCTAGCGATATTGTCACACGGACATTTACTTGCCACAAAAAAATTCAATATCTTTATTAAAAGCAACACCAAACTGGAATCAATTTTGGTTGTGTTGGAACTATCAGGCCTCCCTGATGTAACTGACTTCATTTCAGTCTGAAAGGAAGCATTAAAAGGTACGGTATATTGTACCAAATATGTTTCCAAATTAAGCTATTTTACAATGCAAAATTTCAAAAACTTAATTGATTAGGAAGAGGCATGTGTGTGGCATATCTTCTTCATGCAAAGATAGATTTTAAGTAAAGATGGTACATATGATCACCAACCTGAACTATAGTGATTGAACAAGGTCTCAAGGTCAAAGATCAAGGTCACACTTAAAGGTCAGTGGATAAAAGCTTGTCTGGAGAAAAACTTCTTCAAACATGCAAGGTTTTATTGTGAATTTGGTTCACCAGTGTGAGTTAGAGAGTTGCTCATTAAATTCAGGTCCCTTTGGTCAAGGTCAAGGTCACTCATAGATGTAAAATATCACATAAAATATGAAAATGGTTGTGTATGGACAATTTTATAGACTTTAAAGTGAGGGATTATCAAAAATGTTCACAATCAATGACTGATTAATGTTTGCAATGTTCACCAGAGATGATTAAATGTAAAGATTGTGTCCAAAGCATTGCTTTTACATGCTTGGAGGGACCTTAATATTACTTGAAAGTTTTGCCATCTTGAGACAAAATGTTGCTAGTGTTGCACATTAAGTTGGTTAAAGGTCATAGTCAAATTAAAACACTTTTCCATAGTGAAACATTGTATTACTTAGAACAATTGTTATACGGTTCAGCATCATGAGGCATAGTCCAATGTATGAGTATTTAATATTTAGGCATCCTGAATTATGTGATTTTAATGTAAATATTCTCTATTATGAGACTGAACATTTGAATTGGTTGTATCTTGTGATACTTTTGTATTTAATTTGGACTAAAATACGAGTTCCTTATAAATGTTTAGTTTACCATATTTTTATATTGAAAAAAGAAGGGCTGAATTTTGGCAAAATTATTGCTCCTTATAACTGGAAATTTGCTTTGGGTTCACTACAAGTTAAGTTTACTGTATGTATGTTTGGGTTATTGGACATAAAGGTTTATTCTTGGTGAAATGCCAAGTTTCTGTGGACCATAATTATATTATAATCTCAACTTGGGCAGATAAGGGCATTGGAAACAAGACTATCCTGATTTATGATGACGACATTTGCATGATAATTCATCTTAGTACTGTTGTATATATATTGCATCTTTCGTTATGCAAACAATTCCCTTATTTAAATCAACTGAGTTTTGTTACCCCAGACATTTATTTACATATAACTTTTGACAAAGGGGACATAAATCCTGCCAATTTTTATCAGGGTGGACAATTTCCTCCCATCCTCAAAAAGGCATATCCTCGCATGCATTTATACCATATTTAATTTTAAATATTATACATGTAGTTTGTAATATGTCAAAATAGAGATTCAGTGATGATAAAAATTAGTGGAAATGAAAATGAGCTGGGAATAGCCAGGAAAAAGAATAATGGTTATTATGATTTGCTATCCGAATTGTTTTATGTTACAGGATTCGACGACTGTGTGTCAAAAGCTGGTTTTTTCTTCTTCATAAAGTGTCAATCTGCAAGTAAAACATTGAGGAAATGTCAATTGAATTGGTTAGTATTTTCAAAATATTGTATGCCACAGCAGCATTTGTGATGCACATAGCGAGTCACACAAGTGTAAGTGGGGATGTGTGTGTTTGTGCTCTGTTATATAGATTATATACTGAACTTAAAAAAGTCTTATTAAAAAACTTAGAAACCCAAAGTCAGATTTTTATTATGCCACTGGGCATGTAGTAACCAAACTGTAGGTCTGTTCTTACAAGGTCAACCTGTAACAGCAAGATGGATTTATTTATCTTAAGTTCTACCTATACCAATGGCGTCATGAATTACACACTTACTAATCAATACAAAGTACATGATCTGGGCAAGTTACATAACTATGACTACCATTTTTTAGCACTTAGAAAATGAATAATTGGTTAACCTAAACTGGCAAGTTGGATATATCTTGAATTCTATCTACACTAATCACTTCATAATTTCCACACTTGCTATCAATACAAATGTTTCTCATTTATTTCATGATATCTTCCATATCTTATGTTTTTGCTTTTGGATTAACAAAGTTGAGACTTAGTGCATTGTTTTAGGCACAAGCAAGCACATTAGTAGCACAACAAACCTTTGGTAAGCTATCTGATTAGCTTCATCACATAAAAGAATCCATGGGATTTGAACCCACAACGGTAAAAAGATTTAAAATTGGTCGGCCATAAGCACTTGACCATTTCGGCATTGTATTGCTTCTTTTCAGCTTTAAAAGCTGAAAAAGAGTCATTTTCCATAACATATACGTAATGTTTAATCACTTGCTATTTTTAAGGTTTAACAATGAAGAATTCAGGACAAAAATCACAGAAAAATACCTGGACGAACGTGCCGAATATCGGCGGACCGGAATTACTCAAAAAATGAAAGACTTAGAAAAGAAAAGGGAGCAACAATTTGAGGAATGGATGAAACACCAAAATGAAAATAAGAACACCAGTGCATCATGAGGCTGTGTTTGAAGTTGGAAATTGTTAACAGTTATCTTTTGTGTTATGTTTTCATTTTGTGAAGTTTTGTTGTTTTGACCAGATTTCAAGTTTAATAATGGGATATGTAAAATGAGAATTTTGAAATCTAGATGAAAAGCTAATATAATAAAGATATACAGAGGATTTATAAGGGACTTAAAAAGTCCATTTGCTGTACATGTATTTTAACAAAAACTGTATTCATGTATTCACCATATGTATAGTGCTATGATAGTTATTATCAATGAAGGTTTTGAGAAAACTGCTGCTAAAATCATGAATCAAACTTTTGCTCAGTTTAGCACACAAAAAACATACAATATGTAAAGATGGAAAAATGAAAACGAAAATAAAGTTTGAACATGTATAATTGGATTTTTATTGTGTTTGATGCTTTAAAGATACAATGTATAGAGGATATTAAATTGAATGTAGGTTTAATACTATATTTATTATAATATGGGAGTTGAATGAAATCATATCATGCGTGCCTCTGGCAAGCATAATATTGTTTTATTCAACGAGTTCAATAAATTTAGTATTAAATCTGCATGAACATAATATACTATTTATCACATAAAATAAATAAGAACGGTAAACTGTTAAAAAAAGTCATTGTTTATTGATGCGCCCATATATAGTGTACTGTGATGCGCCCGTATATAGTGTACTGTGATGCGCCCGTATATAGTGTACTGTGATGCGCCCGTATATAGTGTACTGTGATGCGCCCGTATATAGTGTACTGTGATGCGCCCGTATATAGTGTACTGTGATGCGCCCGTATATAGTGTACTGTGATGCGCCCGTATATAGTGTACTGTGATGCGCCCGTATATAGTGTACTGTGATGCGCCCGTATATAGTGTACTGTGATGCGCCCGTATATAGTGTACTGTGATGCGCCCGTATATAGTGTACTGTGATGCGCCCGTATATAGTGTACTGTGATGCGCCCGTATATAGTGTACTGTGATGCGCCCGTAATATAGTGTACTGTGATGCGCCCGTATATAGTGTACTGTGATGCGCCCGTATATAGTGTACTGTGATGCGCCCGTATATAGTGTACTGTGATGCGCCCGTATATAGTGTACTGTGATGCGCCCGTATATAGTGTACTGTGATGCGCCCGTATAGAGTGTACTGTGATGCGCCCGTATATAGTGTACTGTGATTGCGCCCGTATATAGTGTACTGTGATGCGCCCGTATATAGTGTACTGTGATGCGCCCGTATATAGTGTACTGTGATGCGCCCATATATAGTGTACTGTAACGATTAATTTAGCACACTTTAAAACTATGTTTATATATAATGCAAATGACATCATGTCAAAGTGTTATTACATTAGTGATATATCATTTTTGTGTCGCCGTGAAATAGGCGACATATAGGGGTTACTTTTGTCGGCGTCGTTTGCGTCCTCTTAAGCTTGTCCGGAGCATAAGTCTGTCATTAAAAGTCGGATTCAGTGGTGGCATGGCCGAGTGGTTAACGCGTTGGACTAGTAATCTAATGATCGCTAGACGTATGTGTTCAAACCCCGTCAGGGGCAAGTCGTTGTTTCCATGAGCAAGAAACTTTACACTCATTGCTCAGTACTGGTTGGTTCCAGGAACGGATTCGAAAGTGTGTCTATAAGCTTATAGCTTCCTACACAATCAAACTAAATAAATTCTGTATAAACCAAAAGTAGGATTGACTTCAAACTTGGTATGCATGCTTCTTATAATGATTTGAAGTGCAGTGCACAAGAAACGGTACTCTTATTTTTTTAGTTATTGCCCTTTGTTTATTTTCATACTTTATTTTTGTCCAGGCCATTTCTCATAAATTATAAAAGCTATGGACTTGAAACTTCATAGGATGATAGATCTTATTGACAAGTGCGGTGCACAAGAACTGCTGCTCTGCACTTTTTATTTTTTGAGTTATTGCCCTTTGTTAATTTTCATATTTCATTTTTGTCCAGTCCATTTCTCCTAAACTATATTGTTCACAAAGAGACATATCCGACTTGCAGAGTTCTAGTTATTAAATGCCTTTATAACACTTTGCGCCGGAGTTTATGTGATAAAATGCACATTAATTTCTCATGAAATCAAGTATAAAATTGTTATTATTTGGCTTGCTTTCACGGCTCTCTGTAGGTGTCATTATAGTGCTGTGGGAAGCTGCTCTGAAAAATTCATCTCTAAATCTAAAATATTTTCTGGTCTATTTTACCGGATCAGTAATTTCAATGCTTTTAGTGTTGAGGATTAAAAACTGCCTTTTAGGACAGTCACATGAATATGCACCTGAGTAGAACACTTCCATAAGCTGACTGGAAAGCTTTGTCACATGAAAGAATCTTAAGTCCCTGTCAGATTTATACTGGCAACGTTGATATTTGGTACTTAAGTATTGACCGTATTGCTTAGAAAAAAACAGTTATATAAGATATATCCCTTTGGTCAAATATTATATATCAGTAGTATCAGATAACAAATCAGTGTTTTGATTAACATTTATAGAGAATGATTTACCATCTACTACATACTTTATTACACCAGGTCTTGTCATCTACTGCATACGTTTTATTCTAAAATGATCTTATCAGATGTGAATGACCGTTGACACAAGACTCGGATAGGACTCTTGTTTCAAACCAAGAATCTTTCCTCAGATATCATTTACAGACAGGCTTCTTTCATTTGAAACATCACCTTTTTTTTCATTTCGCTTTGGCATCAATTACAGTCCTATATTTCTTGAAGGCATCGTGAAATTTATTATGTTCTCTCTTGTTTCTATTTGGCATCATTTACTGTGATCTATTCATTTTCTTTTGATTATCATAATGTAGCAGTCTCCTTTTCTTTGTTAGGCATAATTCATAGGAACATGACTAACATCAATATCAACCAATTTGTCAGACTCAAAATGTTTAAAAAAAAAAAATATAAATGAGCCGCGTCATGACAAAACCAACATAATGGGTTTGCAACCAGCATGGATCCAGACCAGCCTAGGCATCCGCGCAGTCTGATCAGGATCCATGCTGTTCGCTTACAAACCCTATAACAAGTAGAGAAACTGATGGCGAACAGCATGGATCCTGATCAGCCTGGTCTGGATCCATGCTGGTCGCAAACGCATTACGTTGGTTTTGTCAGGACATGGCTCAAATTAAGGTGGGCAGTAAATTAAGATGAGCTCAACAGAAGCTTGGCAATTTAAAGGTCCACTACTAACACCCTATAGAAAGTAAACTGTACATAAGAAATTTTCAATGTCATCATTCAAATGTTAAAAGTATGTAAATCTGAGCAGGTTGAAATCATATATTACGATTGACCAAATAATGTCATTATCATGTCCCTTTTCAAACCAAAGAACATTTTCCAATTTGTACCGTTTGTGTCATACATGTACATCTTCAGGTTTTTACGGATTGAGAATAATATATCAATTTTTCTAAAATTATAGTCAAGTTTTCTCTTAAACTAATGTGCGTAACCGTAAATTTTATATACATTATTCCAATACAAGGCTTGAATGCCCCCATTACTGGATGGCTTTTACTGAGCTAAAAAATCATTCCCAGACAAGGTCAAAATATTGATCATCGCAGATCGTTAAGAATTTAATACTCGTACAACATAATAAGTGCTTAAAGGTTATTGATAACATAATCTTATGCAAGACACTGTGTGAAGTCCCAGATCATCAACATAAGTAACCAGCAGGTCAGGGCCTATTTTGATATCATTGCCACAATAACTAGAAACCCATAAACTGCTTAATTTGGAACATTCCATTGGAAGTTTAAAGGGATTTTAATACTCAAGCCTCGATATAAGCGGTTATGCGTTGATCCGAGACAACCTGATTTTGGCAAGGACCACCTAATTTTACAAGCAACTGGTTTTTCAGACCACATGGATTTTCTGGTTGGTTCAAGGCTCATCTGAAAGAATGGCAATTTGGTCCAAAAGCATATCTGTTGTCTTCAGTTGTAAATAATACATCTCTTTAACCAGTTTTAAGTGATTTTTTCTAGATCTGAAGTTTTTTTTATAGATTGTGTTAAAAAAAGTACAAAAACAATGATGGATCACTTAAATTTCAAATTCTGTGGTACGGCTTACCGCCTACTAAAAGAGTTAGTGTCTGCCCTATATTTAATATCAAATTACAAAAAAATTGTGTCATCAACAACATAGAGCCATCAGATGTTACACATGCTCCAGCAAGTTGAAGGTTAAATTCAAGAAGGTATATGTTCATACAAAATGTCCCTTTTTCTAGGCATTGTACATGTACTTTGTAAGGTTAAGATTTTATTTAACAGAAACATGTGCTTGATAATTGTGCATGCCTCTGGCACAGATTCCTGTCACTGTGTCAGTAGCTTATTTGCCAAAAAGGTTAACCAATTACTCAATTTTTATTTGGGAAGGCGACATTACTCCAGAAAAACTGTTGACAGGACCTTTTCGTCTTGTCAGAAGAAAAGTAGTGACATGTTACTGATTAGATGAATTAAAAATTACTTAGTTCACTAACATAACATCACTAAGGGAAGATAAATGGAGACAAATGGATGCTGCAATGTTGAGTAATTTGCCTAGATCATGGCCTTTCTTTTGAAGTTACTTCATCTGTTAGTATGCATATTTTAAGTAATTGGTAAAAGTTTGAGCTAAGATTCACCCAACAAATTCTGTTAACTAGTCATATTTTCAAAATAAAATAATATAAGCTATAAAAGGGGAAAAATAACCTCCCATGTGTATTAAGTGCCATTTGTGTGTACCGACCACTATAAAAATTTTCCGATCATTTTCTCTATATCTTTAATGTATTAAACTTGACAAACCACCGCTAATTAGTCAACTAATTATGATCAATCTTTAAGCTGTTAAGTCTTTGTTTTTTACAGAATGCCACCTTGTGCGATCACAAATGCCATGGAAGTCTACGCATAGGTGGGATGTGTATTACCAAATAAAACAAGAGCACCGCTAGGCGGAGCATTATATGCCCGAAAGTGATTTTTGTATTTTCTGATCGTAAGATCAGTAAATACATAGCTAACATCCAAGGTCTAACACAAAATTTCCTAACAGTCCTAACAACGCAAAGTAGTTCTCACTCAAAACTGCTTAAAAACCAGCAATTTAAAGAAAGAATAATTTTTAATGTAGGCATTTAACGAATTACAGTGCATTAGTCAATAGAAATATGAGGTTACAATCACAAATTTCGCGGATGAATATCTTTTTTACCCAATGAAAAATGTTCGGCTATTTCCGTAAAGCTTCGGATTATCATGAATATCATTTTAATCAATGAAAATGCTATTTTTAGCTATGCCGATTACCGAATACTCCAGAGCGTAGTACACAAATAAATCTGACTGTCGAGTAGTGGAATATATACATGTCGGACTGTTTTGGCGAGAAGATTTTCGATAAATTATTTTCATCAGTGTTAAACAACACGTTTATCGTGAACAAAATACCTCGAAATTAATAAGGATTACAAACACGAAATGGAAATTGTCAATTTAGAATTACATAATGTATTCGTTTTTATTCAAGGTTCATATGTATAACTTCGCCGTGGTGCAGAGGTAAGCGGTCTCGTTGAGGGTGTGAGAGGCCTATGGTTCAAATCCTAGTCGAGGCAATTCTATTTTTTTTCATGCAAAATTCCATATGTTAAAATCTCAAACTGTTATAGAAGAAAATCAAAACGCTGTCGCTGCGTAAGATGAATTATAGTATATAAAAATAAACTTATACTGGAAAGTACATACAGATAGTCAGTATGATTTAGATTGCAAAGATCAGAAAATACCATAGAGCTGCAGCCCTTTGATTTTATAGTAAAGATGAAGCATTTGTAAGACATGGGAATTAAATAAAGTATTACCTCCTTCACAAAACAATCCTCCTTTGAAGTTTCAATATTGTGGTCCAAATGGAACTTAAGTTATGCCCCGGAAACTGTTTTCAGTTCTAAGGTAATAGTGACCTTGACCTTTGACCTTGTGACCCCAAAATCAATAGGGGTCTTCTACCAAATATGGACAATCATACTATGGAGTTTAAACACAGTGGGCCAAATGAAACTTAAGTTATGTTCCGACAACTGTTTTCAGTTTTTAGGTAATATTGACCTTGACCTTTGACCCCAAAATCAATAGGAGTCTTCTATCTAATATGGACAATCATCCTATGAAGTTTGAATATTATGGGCCAAATTGAACTTAAGTTATGCTAAAGAAACTGTTTTCAATTTCTAAGTAATAGTGACCTTGACCTTGGACCTTGTGACCCCAAAATCAATAGGGGTCTTTAACCCAATATTGACAATCATCCTATGAAGTTTGAACACTGTGGGCCAAATGGAACTTAAGTTTTGCCCCGGAAACTGTTTTCAGTTTTAAGGTAATAGTGACCTTGACCTTTGACCTTGTGACCACAAAATCAATAGGGGTCTTATACCCAATATGGACAATCATCCTATGAAGTTTGAACACGGTGGGCCAATTGGAACTAAAGTTATCCTCCAGAAACTGTTTTCAGTTTTAAGGTCATAGTGACCTTGACCTTTGACCCCAAATTCAATAGGGGTCTTCTACCCAATATGGACAATCATCCTATGAAGTTTGAACACTGTGGGCCAAATGGAACATAAGTTATGCTCCAGAAACTGTTTTCAGTTTTAAGGTAATAGTGACCTTGACCTTTGACCTTGTGACCCCAAAATCAATAGGAGTCTTCTACCCAATATGTACAATCACCCTATGCAGTTTGAAAATTGTGGGCCAAATGGAACATAAGTTATGCTCCGGAAACTGTTTTCAGTTTAAAGGTAATAGTGACCTTGACCTTTGACCTTGTGACCCCAAAATCAATAGGGGTCTTCTACCCAATATTGACAATCATCCTATGAAGTTTGAATACTGTGGGCCAAATGGAACTTAAGTTATGCTCCGGAAACTGTTTTCAGTTTTAAGGTAATAGTGACCTTTGACCTTGTGACCCCAAAATCAATAGGGGTCTTCTACCCAATATGGACAATCATCCTATGAAGTTTGAATACTGTGGGCCAAATGGAACTTAAGTTATGCTCCGGAAACCAAATTGCTAACGGACGGACGGACGTTCCTAGTTGACATTATAGGTTTTTTTCTTTGATCTCCTTTGATCTCTATAACCCCATAAGCAAAGTATTTGCACCCCATAAGCAACCTTTTTCCTCACAAGTACCGTCTATACGGATTGAACATGGATATTCACCCCACATCGTCATTTCAGTGAGCTCGGACAGACGGACGGATAGACGGACGGACGGACGCCAGGGGGTGTAACATAATATGCCCGAAATTCTTTCGGGCATATAATAAAGAAAACGAAGCAATGCTTCGCCCAGACTGTGATGGTGTATACACTGCTATGTTGATATTTAGGTGCCAATGATTTGACCTTGATCAATTATTGCACTAAGACGTACCGGTAGGTTGTTCATTTTAAATGACAAATTGCAAAACAGAAATAATCAACAATTCTGAAAGGTTTAGTGCCAGGGAACATTGTCGAAGACATAAAATTTCCCAACAATACTTCATGTGTGCAAATAATAAGAAAGTCAAAGTAGTTAAAAATTGAAAAATATCTTTATTAAAATAAAATAAAGAAAAGAATAAATATCGAAAGATGCTTCTGCTGCTGTATACATATCAAATAAATTATTTACTTATGTCAGCTTTACCTTTAAATAAAATAATTCAACAATGAAATATTTATTTTTATCTCTAGTACTGTTTATGCCAATGACATAACATCAGTAACTGCAATACATAATCATTATGATAATGTAAGTTTCATGCATGTAGTTGATTAAAATAAAATCATTACAGTATGTATAATTATTATTTGCACATCATTAACAAGTTTCAGATAACAACCACATGTATATTTTATCATTTTCTTAGTTAAATTTTTATCATAGAATTTAGCAATAAACATGTTCAACCATGATCTTTTCAGAAAACAGATTTCTCTGTACAAAATTTAATCCATGCATTGTAAAAATAAAATATTTCTTTCAACTCTCGAGTATTTTCGATTTAATGAGTAGCTGTCATTGCCGTTTCAGTTAGACTGTTAGTTTAATTTATAAGTAGATAATTCTATTAAACTTCACACAAATAAATTTCTGATTTACCTCAAGCATAATACATGGGCGAAAATTTAAAGATATAAAAAACAACCTAAAAACCCTGAATTTAGTATTATTTCAATTTGTTACATATAGAAAAAGAGAGAGCTTTCAGCAGTAGAAAAAAACAAACAACTTTAACTTCAGGCAAATGTCTGAAAACTTGTACCCATGATGATAGCACTAAATGGGTTATCAATGATGGCAGACAATGGTTTTATGATATCGGCGTAGTCAGTGATTTGTTAAGAAAGACAACTCTTGTGTCCTTGATAATTGCTGCTGTGATATGGGGCAGACTTCTGCCGGTACCAAAATTGAGGTTATACACTCATTTTCTTTCACATTATCTGGTACAACTACTTCGCACCCTTGCTGAATTTATACCAGCAGTGGTCCTCCTACTTTCTTGAACAGATACAGATACAAACACGCACCGACATCTGCCTGTGTCTTGAAAATAACTTTCAACTGATTTTTTTAATGTTAAATATCTTTCAGCATCATATTATTGAATTTTATATCAAGAAGCTTGTAATTTGTAGCTCTTTTTTCAAATCATTTAAAAACACTGAATGTTTTTGGCACATTTGCTATAAATAACATTTCAGAATTCTCACTTGATCTTGCCCTAAATTTTTGTTGTTGTTTTTTATAGTGGGACAGGTAAAAACTTTGACATTCATCAATAGTCATCATCACTGTCATCTCTGTTTATTGCACTTTCTCTAATTGCTATATTCATAACATCTTTAACTTCAGGCTTTGGTGGCTCCTCAAGGTCTGTCTGTACTGCTCCTGTTTGTGACAACATCCATTCCAGTTCTGATGAAGGAAAAATAACAACAAATATATTTATGCAAACTTGTTTTGTTAGGTTTTACGGCCCACCAACACAATTTAGGTTATATGGTGCCAGAACAGGAAAGATGGTTTTGGATAACTGTTGTTACAACCTAGTAGCAATCCTAAGGGTAAAAACTGGGGCCAAGAGATGCATAGACTCCAGTGATTGGAACACATTAAGTCACCTCTTACAATCATGCAGTGGCTGCAATTCTGATGCATCAACCTTGAAAGGCAACGCTCAGCCACAAGAGCATTATATTTGTTTGAAATATCTACATGATTTGAAAATGAATTTGCTATTGTAAATGATTCATACTGATTGAAAACGTTACTGTTGTATGTAAATATATTTGGGTGGGGTATTGCCGTAAATTTATCCGATCTTGTGAGGAGGACTATGTACCGTAAAATTCCTAATAAACGCCACTGCCCTAATAAAGGACCCCCCGGGCTTTTTGATATGGAAAAAATCTACTCATCTGTGCTGAACTCATGAGTATATCCATAATTTTATTCAAATCATTCAGAATCCATTTTATTTCAAAGTAAACACAAAAATGTATCATATGAACTTTATACCTTAACAATTTTTAATGCTATTACCAACACTTGCTAACACTAAATGTATTTACAATGATCTTTGGATTTAGGAAAAAATGTGTTTTAATAAAAGCCCCCCTTTTGGAAAATGTTTAGCCGCCGGGGGCATTTAATAGGAATTTTACGGTATCCCAAGCCTGTTTATATTAATACGGTTGGAGACTTTGGACCCCAATTTGAGCATTATAACTGGATGTATCATTTAAAAAGTATAAAAACATACTAAAATACTCACCATTTTGTTTTAAATTCATTCCACCAAAGGCTAATGGACCAACAAATTGTTTCTTCATCACATTTTCATGATAAACAAAGATAGTAGGTAAGTTTTTATCGGGATAATTTGGTATACACACAGATGACACGCTGCGTAGGAATTTTGTTGACGGGAATTTCTGAGCCAAATTTGATATGTGTTGATTTACTAATTTACATAATGGAATTCTGAAAAGAGACCAAAAACAACAAATTTATATTCACAGTAATCAATCTCTAAAGTGAAAAAAGTTTTTACATAAACCACTTTTCTCATTTGTTTCATAATGTCTTAAATTGTTTATTTATTCTGTAACGTCATAACTGGTTTCTTAAATGTCATAACTGGTTCAAAATTTGTGTCATAACTTTTTTTGTAATGTTCTAACTTGTTCAGTTTGTTTTGTCAAAATTTGTTTTTAATGTCATAATTTGTTATGAATTGTCATAATTTGTGTATAATGTCATAATTTGTTTTGTAATGTCATAATTTGATTTTTATGTCATTAATTTGTTTACAATGTCATAACTTGTTTTATCATGTCATAATTAGTTTTGTAATGTCAGTTCAATCACAGCAGCATTGTATTGAAACATTTATGCCAAAAGAAAACTTTCTAACATCCTGTTCACAGTTATTTAAAATATCAGCAACATTGCTTAGTCAGTCTCCTTTATTTTCATTATACAATGCTTAAGTTAAAAAAGCTTGAATTTTGAATTATGAAATAGTTCATGTTTTGTTTCTTAGATATACTTAAAGCAATAAAACTTACGAAGGTTTATAAACATGTATAACCACCCATATTCCATCACCAGCTTTGTTGACTTCCGTCACCCAGTCAGATTTACTGATTTCACGAACCTCACCAAACTTGTTCTTTTGCTGAGCTTCTCTCATTTCTGCCATTCTTTGACGCCTATGTGAAAAAGTATTTAAAATATTTAACTATTAAATTATGTATCTATATACACATGTACTTACTATAAAGGCAAGTCTGTGACTCATATGTACAATTATAGCATCTGTCAACATTGGAAATGATTGCCAACATGTGAAGTTATCAGAAACTGGTTTTATAATGTACAACTTTTCCTCCCGGGCTGCAAATGTTAACAACTTCAAACACCTACATGTAATTACCCCTTTCACAAGGACCAGTAACACAAAGTACCGGGTCGAAATAAATGGCCGAAGATTTAACAAAGTACTAATCTTCAGTTATATTATTAGTTATAAAAGTTGTTGACAGGTTATATGGCCCTATATCAGCAGTTGTTTGGAAATATAACTTGAGCCGATAGGATTTTAACCTATTACAAATTCATAATACTGCAAACTTCTTTTTTAGAGAAAAAAAAGTGAGATTTCTTTATAAATTGGCAGCAGCCGTGTATATAAAACTATATAAACGTCATGATTATCCAAAGAAAATCGACGTTACAAACGTGCAGTGTTATAAGTCCCATTACATATTATGTCCCAGTAATGCAGGCTATTACATGTAAAGATATCAAACTACATGTTGTATAGTGAAGCAAACTCATTCTCTCACATGACTTGTATAAATTTTTTTCTCACCAGTATTGTTTATAAAATCTATCTGCACTCATCATATTGTATGTAAAATTAATCCCTGGTCTTACCTGTATTCCTCGAATATTCTTTCTTCTTCTTCATCTATATCATCTTCGATGTCATTCAATTCATCCAACCCCATGTCAGACATATCCTTACCTGCAAAGAACACTCCACAATATACTCACAAATTAATACCCAATCATGGCTGCATTAATTTTGCTGCCGTAATTAAAAAACAAGGACGCAAATCTAGGATCTATTTAACATTACGGTAGCAGTTTGTTTCACTATTTTAGTTTTATTTTAGCAACAGTCACTTAGTAATGTACATAATAGCTACTCTAAATGTATACCTAATTTATAATTTTACTCTTTCATGAATATATCACATTGCCAATGTTTTCACATACAAAAAAATAATTGACAATTCACAGTGAGGGTCATACAGTAAGTATAATTTAATAGTTCCTACATGTATACCTTTAGCTTTATTTTCTATTGTGTTTTCTACCATGGCGACAATGTCATCTTCTGTTAGTTCTTTTTCTTCCTTAGGCGGAAGAATTCCCTTTGCCCTCAATACATCGTTCCATTCTGTATCTGCATTTGGGTCCTAAAATAAATACAAGTTCAAAATTTTAATGCTCCTTAAAAATCCTGTAACTCAAATTTTTTATGGTTTTATATCATAAATCTGACGCTCAAATGAAGATTTATCAATATTGTAGGTTCAAAAAAAAAAAAAAATTTGTAAAGATATTGCTGAATTTACATTTCATGAAAATAAAGGGGGGTAATTAGAAAATTATTTTTGATAAGTCTAAGTCTTAGCCAAATTTTTCAATACGAAATGAATGCATAGATTTTAATGATTAATTTTAATGCCATAAACATTTGCAGTACATATTTTACATATTCTTCGATGTTTGGAAATTGTTTTAGAAGAATAATTATATACATAAAATTTCACTTAAGTGTTGTTACACCCTTAATTACAACATACAGGATCTTAAATGCTAGTCATTCCTTAAAAATCACAAGAGCACTACATACTGTGCTAACACTCTGCTTAAATATCCAAGTTAAAAAGTGGCATAACTCCAAACATGCTTTCAGAATTATGTCCCTTGTCTAACAACTGCATCATGTCATGATATGCAAGTATTCACAGTTATATGTAACACATCTTTTGAAAGGCTATATTACAAGTTTTGCACTACAATGAAAACGATGATGCAGCGATCATAAAACCCCTACTTTTTCATAAAAAAAAAGTGTACATTTCATCAGACATCTAAATAAATATTGAAATATTGAAGATACAACTAAAGACCTTGATCTGGGAAACTTGAGCTCTGCATATAATTTCATTATAGATAACATTTCTGCCAAGAATTTCCAATTTAACCAAGTAAAGCAAATTCTTAACAAGAGCAACCACTTAGCAGGGGCTATGCTTACTGGTCGGGGACCACCAACCGGACACTTTTTGAACATTTTTCCATACAGATTTTATAATTTTAAAGCTAGAGATCTGAAAATTTGACACAGTACAGCTAGGTTCTTTTCCCAACTAACAGACTAGTTTGTTTATTTCTGATTATGTTGACACTAATATCTGAGACCTGTGAAGGAGGGTATCAAAATTACCTGAATTGTCCACACTACAATACCATGTGTCCGGACAGATATGTCCATGATGCTGATTTAAATCAATACAAGCTTTGGTGTTTTAATTTTTATATTAACATAATATAAAATATTTCAGCAGCAAATGCTGAAGTTTTGGATATTCTATTATTTAATCTACAAATCATTACAGCTAGTATAAGTGGTCAGGTATTGCACTCTTGACGTCCAAATTTTCAAAGTCAACGTTCTTGAAAGACATTACAATATTAACGTTTACGAAAATTGAAATAAATTTAATTACTTAATTGTAGAACAAACATGCAGTTATTGTTGATATAAAAGCGACTGATTGATCAACTACCACTGAACAAATAAAATAAGGCATTTTCGTGTCTGGGTTTGGTGGTTGTCCGGTTTTGGAGGTCTCCAACCAGTAGTCTAATTAGTTCAGTTGTAGGATATTGATATACGTATATAATATGTTTATAATGGTATTAAAAGAAAAAAAGAAAAATCAATATTTAAATATATTTATTACAATGACTTATGGAGAGGGCGGACCGTGAGACAGGGCGGACCGTATGTTTGAACAGGGTGGACCATACTAAAGTCTGCCCTGTCTAAGGGTCCGGCCTGTCCATAATTGACTGATTCAGCTAGTTCTGGCTTCCATAACTTTACATATACACTGATTCTCATAAGAATTGTGAAATTGACAGATCAAAAGTCGAAAAAATCGATCTTCTTAATAGGGCCTAATTTCGAAGATTTCGAAAAGTAGAACCCTTAACTGAGACAATTGTGAAATTTTTTGAACATCAACCAAATACTTTGCGAGTACTACTCTCTGAAAGAAGCAACCCTAGTTGTAAAATTTATCCTATTGTAATGTACGCTACTACCAGTTTATTAATTAAAACATTCCGAATTTCATATGAAATATTAAATATATCCACTTCAGAAAACTTTATTTTTGCCATGTATTCATTACATTTATAAAATAACAAAATATTTCACTATGAAACGCTTGAAATATTTTTTTCTTGAGCTTGCAAAGTTATCGCAATAAAACGCAATTCTACAAAGTGTGTTTATTTAAAATGCGGAATTTTTGATGATTGATTTCAATTGTATGATTCCATTTATTTGTTCTTATGTTTTGTTTAAACTTTACTTCAATAATGATAACGTGACGAAAAAAACTTTGCAACCCAAAAACATGACTAAAATTTTGTGGTAGAGTCTTTTTGACAGAACATCAATTGTCTCGGACATTACGTAATACAGTAAAAATATTCGTTGTGGGTAACAGTAATGGTTATTATTATTATCATTTTATTATACAATCATTTTTTTAAGTTTAAACTTAATATTATTAAGTGTGTTCATTTTAGCTTGAGTCAATAGCATGGGTAAATAATATATACAAACAAATTAAATTACGAGTATAACTATGTATCCGACGTACAAAAGAAGTTAAATACCTGTCCTTATATTAATATCAATGTCATAAAACATATTTACTGAGATCGTGGGCATATATGCAGCGTACAGAATAACAATACATATATTACAATTCATGCTTTTGATATTATTAAGGCTACATCAAATTTTAAGATTTGAGCAGAACATTTCAAAAAGGGCACCTTACTAGCCAGTATTGAGATAAAATGTATTTTAATTGTTAATTATTATGTGCTTCCTACGTAGTTTAAAATATTTCAATTACAAAGAGCCAACGTTGTCTTTTCCTCTTCTACACTTGTAAGTGCAATTGCCACTCATTTCTAATACAGATTTCACCATACATGACTGTAGAGATGAAGAAAATTTTCAAGATCTGCGTGTAATGTTCGATACTAATATTGTAATGTTTGATACATAGTTGTAATATGTTGTAGACGCTATCATGTGTATAATATTGTAGATGATATATTTTAAACATGTCAGCAACTATGTTAATAGTATCTGATAATATTTTCAGTTATTATATGCATGTTTATAACAGTAGTTTTTTTTACCAACGCGGTGAAACGTTATTGGGGTTTGAAACTGATTTAGATGATAATCAACAATATTGCCTCATATATATTTAGTAATAAATATGCATTTAAATTACAAACACCTATTTACTTTATTTAAACAATATATAATTATGGAATATTTTCTCAAAACAAAAGCAAAATCGCTGAAAACATTAACAAATGTATAGATTGCCATCAGAATAATTCAGTAATGTTCGATACGAAATGTAGTGAACATTACAATACCTATTATGAAAGGCATATCACTTATAATCTATATCTAAACAATTTCAGTAAGAAAACTTTGCATACAGATTTTGGCTTTAGAAGAAAATAAATATTAAACGTATTACATCTTTGTTTTCGTAGTTACTAGAATCTGATATTCAGTTACTAGATTCTAAAGCCTTACTTACACAAAATTAAGAAAATTTGATTATAACTGTAAAAATACAAAGTATGTATACATTTATGCTGCATCTATGATTAAGTATAACACAAAAATGACTAGTTTAAGTCCTTGTTAATTGAAAATTAAGTATACTAAAGCCATGTTACATTTTTATTGTATTGAACATTACAGTCGCGTACATTACAGACCTATGTGTATATAGATATATTAAAAGATTCGTGGGCACAATTCTTTCAGATTTGGTTATTATATATCGCTCAAAATGTAAATCATTTATTAAAAATTCCTTAATTGGGAAATAGTGCATGGAACGTACTAATTTTTAAGTAGCGAACATTACATGCTTAAATCATCATCTGGCACAGGCTGTCAAAGTAATAGAATCTCGGTTAATTCTTAGAATTTATCATAAGAGAGATAAGTCTGGCTATAGTAGCATAAGTATTTAATTGTAAAATAACATATAAACGACTTAGAATTACTTAGTTATTTTTCAGTTATATGCGGCAACTTAATTTACAAGTCGCGTACATTACCGATGCAGTAAATTTTGGCGACAGTTCTAAAAACATTCTACATATGACAAAGATCAGTCTTTTCAAGTGGGTCAAGCTTCGAAAACAGATAAGAAGACATACATACTCCTGCACAAATTAATTTTTTGCCGAAATTATATAGGTTTTTTGGGGTTACACTAGCTCAAACACGAATAATCCAAAATGGCGACAGTCTCGAACATTACATTTCCAAAAGCTTCCCTCATAAAATTTTGGTTATCGAATGTGTTATCAATGAAGTCTATGGATCAAAAAAATCCATTATATACTTTTTGCACGTTAGCTATCAAATAGCAAGTTTTTCTGAATCGATTATGTTCAGAGTGTGCAGCGACATCAATTTCACAATTCGCGTGAGAATAAGTGATAGCTTCAGAGATTTTTCTACTTATAAACAGACTCCGAAAAAAGGCCTCTTCCCAATTGAAATTTTCTTTAAATTCATGCAGTTTTCCCAAAAATCTTAACTAAAACCAGCTTTTTAACTTCCCAAATCAGCAATTTTAGCAATAATTTTTCCCAAAATCAAGAGGCTAAGGCCTCTTCCCAAGAAAGTGAGAAAAATCACTGAGCTTTTATTTTGACATTGCAACAGTCACAGGTCTAGCAGTACTATAAAACCTGTTTGCTCAACTCTCTTTAGCTATGATTCAGCGTTAACGGTTTGACTCATTTTTACAAACTGTTTTCTTCATACAGTCAAACCGTTAGAAAAGGATATCGCCTGGCAAAAATTATCTCGAGTCTTATAAGTTGGTCTAGGGCTTAGTCCATTAAATTAGACGTTACAGGCTTGTTATGTTTTATGTCGGTCAAGTTGCTTTGCCCAGAAGCAAAAATATCACAAAGCGACGTCATATTTATAGGTATGCATAACTTTTTCTTCACACATCAGTGGTAAATAAGGAATATATACTGGGTATACCACGAAAAGACCAATATACATGGGACCCCACTATACGGGACCCCACTATACTCCTAGAAAACATGATTTTGACATGATGAATCTAGAGCTTTAAATACTGTTGAGAAAGATTCTAAATTCCAGCCTTCTTTTATTCTTGTGAAAATCAAAGCCATCAAATAAAAGCCTACCTGCATGTTGATCTGCTAAACTGTCGAAGTATACTGCCAGTACCACTAAAAATTGAAATAGTTATCTAGTCATGCCACTTCCGTGTTTGGACGAGTTTTGTGTTTTTAGGCGGAGAAATTATGAAGCAGGCCTGTAATGGCGGTGTATCAGTCTAGAATTTGGTACGTCAGTGATATCCTTATCCATATATGGATGTGTGAAAATACTGGGTAGTCATATTTCTAAAAATAAATATTCGGAGTCACCGATCTCTAAAAATAACTATTTCGGAATAACCGGTGTTCATGCATTTTCAGTGTTGTAGCTTTCTTGGAGTATGACTAAATTATGCAATGGAGAATTTTTGGCGCAACGGAGTTCAAAATTAGCATTTATCGATAATAAAACAAGAATTTTCAAAAAATAAGATTGTTTGAGTAAATGTCTAAATGTACACATACATGGTAGTTTGTTGATAATAAAACTAATTAAAAAACAAAGCCTATAATTTTATAGACCTATATATCGATGATATTATTTACCAAATGTCTAGCTAGATATTTAATATAAGCTTTAATTGTACCTTCAGACAAGGAAGATTTTTACTAAAAATGTACATATTAAAAACCATTGACCACCGCGGTGGGGCAAATTTTGACATCATGGAGCCTATAATTTGACAATGTGACCTTCTGTCTTGTCCTTTAATGTGCAGTGATTAAATTGGAACATGTGCACAGTTGAAGATGTAATTTGTAACTTTGGTATCAGCTTACCTAGATTTTGAGGAAGTGACCTCCTTTGTTTTTATGTACAGCTATATAAGAAGTAGAACTTTAATTTGATATCAAATGACCTAGATCTAGATCATTCTTTCTTGTTTTAGATGAACAGCAATAAAATTATGGGACCACGTATATATATAGTATTATCAAAAAATACATTTTGCACAAAGTTTCATCTACATTATTCAAATTCTTGTAATAAACACTAGCGTTCACTGCTTTCACAAAAATAACGGTCTGTCATCATGTAAGCTCTTAAGGGCAAATGCCCCCTTGTTATTTTATGTTTTCAGAAATAGGTAAAGCTCAATTGAAAAGAAAATTAAGAAATAACCTAACTGTACACACATATAGTCACTACTGCATTAAGGCAAAGTTCGCTTGTGCAGAAATACAAAAAAGGCTATTTATGTTCCTACTATTTTAAAGTGTTGTATTGATGAGGTGGTATATAGCATTTTTTTCTTTTATTTTAACTTATATTTAGCTCCATGACTTAAAATTAATCTTTTTTGATTACTAAAATATTAAAATGTTAACTATTGACATAAATAAACATACGTCTGTTGCTAAAAAATAATTATGTCAGTTGGCATATTTTAGTCATAACCCCCTCGGTCCGCAACTTCTCGGCTTTTCCCCTTATTAAAAATAGCGCGAGATGTTTACGATTGGGAGAAACGAAAATGATAAAGTAGGAAAAAAAAATGGGTAAAACCAGCCATGCTTTTTAAAAACCAGGGTCTTTGGTAAAATCTAAGACAATTTTATGTCCGGAGTCAAAAACCGTTTACGTGAAATATTTTGCGTCAATATACTGCATACATTTATCAATAGTGCAGGTAGCTCTGTAAGTGGTAGCTGGGACATAAGATAAGTTATCTTATGTCCTGGTGTAAGTGGGTTGAAACCCGGTTTACAATTTAAACCCGGCTTACAGTTATATTATATGTAGATAGTTGAAACTTCCCATTTTCGGAAAATCAATATTGTGAGTAGCGCTATATAAATTAATTCCACGTACTGTAACGGCTAGATCATTCAGGTGTTCTGTGGACTATTTATAAGCTTAATAACTTACTTTGAATTTGGAACAGTTAAGAAAGCTGAGTGGGTGGTTAGTTCTGGCTTCCAAAACTTTATAAGCCGTTAAATTAAACATTTTTGTTTTTTCATCTGATGCGGCATCTAAACATCTAAACGGGGGAAAAGTGTCAACTCGGCCCTATACCAACTCGGGGGGCACGGGTCAAACTCGGCCCACTTTACAAAAAATATATAGGCCTATAACGTATTTACTTTGCTTTGCATATGTTGTTAAGGTAAAATGAATAAAAGAAATATCTTAATTATTATTAATATAATTATACATTGTACCTCTGCTGAAATAAAGTATATTTAGAAAAAAAAGTTATTTATTTGTCTTGCAGAGATTCGAGATGTAAAATTGAATATAGACACAGGCACGATTATCCGTAACCTGGGGAAGAAAAAAATAGAACAATTTGATAAAATAACTCATATTTTTTTTCTTCCCGATACTTGTGCCTGTGAATATTTAGATATAATAAAAATGTGTTTTCCTTTAGATGCATTTTTTGTTTGTAAAAGTAATTTTTCAAAATAAAGTTATGAAACAAAAACGTGTTTACTTAATTAGCATAGGCTTCTAATTAATTGGTAGGTGGTCCACTAATTTGAATGAATAAGTCCCAATCATAATTATCACCCTAATTAATCGGTATATTTAACATACACATTGATTATAAATAATAGCCCTGACAAAGGAGTCCTTTGATGTCCTTTAACTCATTTTAAAATCAGGAAAAACATGTGGGCCGAAGTTGACCCGTTCAGTTGGAATATGGCCGAGCTGACCCGGGGGCCGAGTATGTTTTAGGGGCCGAGCTGACCCGGATTCCTAAACGGGGACGCTTGAAGACCTTTTAAGCTAAATGGTGGGGAGGCTCAGTTGGTTAGAACTTAGACCCACTGGCTGTGACTCTTTGAGGCCAGGTGTCGATCCTTGGGTAACACCCTTGGGGATTTTTTTTTTTTTTCAGAAGAACAATTTCAAATGTTTTTTACCCAACATGCCAAAATTGCATAGGTACCTTGAATTTTTTTTTTTGGGTGGGTCAAATTTGGGGAGATTTTTTTTTGATAAACAAGGAAGGAAATTTCTGAACCCCCTTCAAAAATTGGGAGATTTTTTAATTTGAGAAAAATACCCCCCCGAAAATTAAATAAAAAATTTTTGAAAAAAAAAAGGCTGGGGAAAAAAGGTAGTCTCCTGCTTTTAATCAAGTGGGAGGTTCACATGTTAACTTAGAAGGGGTACGGAAGAAAACTAGGTTTCCCTCGATGTTTAAACATGCTATACCAAAATGGGCATGTAAAAAGAAACCCAAGGGGGGCTATTTATTAAAAATAGGGGACAAAGGGTTCCCCCTCATTGCTGTTTTAAATTTAAATTTTGATTGGGAAGGGCCAACCCATTTAAAAATTTGTATTTTATAAATATGGTCTTTTATTGAAAATTTTAAAAATAAGTGGGTTGTGCCCCGGGAAAGGGGCCCCCAATTCTAATTTTAATAAAAAAAAAAACGACAATTGTTCGCAAAAGGGTTTTTTGAAAAATGACTAATTTTTAAATCATTTTACATCCTTTCCCTGAGGGGTTTGGGCTGATAAATTTGAAAAAGATTTGATTAAAAGATTAAGATTAAAAAATCATTAAAAGAATTTAAAATTTTTGGGTTTAAGATTTGATTATTTAAGTGATAAAAATATTTTAGATTTGATTAGATGAAAAGTAAGATAAAAATGGGGAAAGGGTTTTGGGGGGAGGGGGGGGCAAAAGGGGCTTTCGCATTGATTGTAACAGGGATATATAAATTTTTTTTTGACTTTTCAAACCAAAAATTTTTTGGAACTAAATCGATGTTTTGCACAGAGTAATAAAATTTGGGGAAAATTTTCATGAAAGATCTTTAAGGGAAATTTATGTTTTTACAATAAAAAATTTTTTATGGTTTTTTAATTTTATGGTGTTCCGTTTTACAACATGATTTTTGTTCCCCCCCTTTAGGGGGGGCATTTTGGTTTTCCCTTTTTCCCCTTTGTTCACCCTTTTTTTGGGCGCCGTAAAACCCCAAAAAATAATTTTAACTAGAGCCCTGAAATTTACAGGAATGTTGATCACATGTGTAGTTTTTGCATTTTTGGGGATTTTTGGGCAGGGTTTTTTTTAGTTTTTTTTAGAGTTTGCCCTTGACTTTTGTTAAAAAATTTTTCAATTTTCCAAAATTGGTGACTGGGGGTTTAAAAGTAAACTCAAAATTAAATTTTAACCCCTTTAGTCTTTAAAAATTTTCAAGGAAATGTTGGGTTTAAACATTTTGTGCCCGCCGGGTTTTTTTTTTTTTTTCGGATATTTTTTTTTAATTTTTTGAAAATTTTTCCCTTTGATTATAAAAATTTTTCAATTTTTTTAACCTTTTGTCGGGCCCAATAAAAAGTATTTGGGGCCTAGAGTCCCTGGGGGGCTTTACCGGAAAATTTATCACATGTGTGTTTTTTTTCCCCCATATTTTGTCTGGATATTCTTAATTGTTTAGAGTTATTGACCTTGGGGCTTTGGTTAAATTTTTTCAATTTTTCCCAAATTGTTGTGCATTAAAATCAAAAGCTTTTACCCAAGGGGGTCCCTGAAACTTTAAAAGGAAAAATTGGGTCAGCATGTATATTGTGGGAACCTTTGGGATTTTTGTCTGGATTATTTTTTTGTAAATTTTTAGAGTTATTGCCCCTTGCTTAGAAAATTTTTTCCCAAATTTTAATTGGGGTCGCATTTAACTCAATAAATTTTTACATGAGTCAAATTAAAAACCCTTTCGGGGAAAGGGTTTCTTTAGCATATTTAGTTTTGGGACCTGGGGGTTTTCCCCTTTGGATTTATCCCGATTTTTTAAGTTATTTCCCCTTGGGCTTAAGGGAAAAAACTGTTTTTTATTTCCCTTTTTTTTTCTTGAGTCCCGGAGTTAAAAATTTAAACCCCCTTTAAAAGGAATAATGTCAAACCAATAAATAAGGAATAAAGAATTTTAAATCACGGGGAAGCTATCCTGGGAAAATTTTTCTGCAGATTTTTTTTAGTTTTTTTTGCGATTTGCCCTTTTTTACCTTACAGTAGTAAAATTTTCAATTTTTCAAAATTTTTATGCCCAAAACCCAAAAAAAAAATTTCAAATTTAGGGCCTTTTGA